CCCCCCCCCCCCCCCCCCCCCCCCCCGCTCTGAAGGCAGATATGGCTCCCAAGAGCTGTCTGGAGTAGCCTGAGGCTAGAGAAGGAGTAAGGTGACACAGGAGAGTCTCCTGAACTGACCTAACAGTATAAAGGGGACAGGGATTCTCACCAGACCCAAGGACAAGGCCTACTGAAAAGTAGGTAAAGCCTGGTCAAGGGGGGTCTCTGTCCCTGGTCCCTGAGCTTCACATGCTAGCGAGCCAGGCTGGCCCAGGACCAGTGTCCCCCTCCACACTCCGTAGCCCAGAGCCCTGCCTCCCCCTCCAGGCGATCCCCGTCCTACATCATCTGCAACACCACGTCTTCTGAGGAGGTTCTGGAGATGGAGGTGACAGTGCAGGTGGACAGGGCCAAGATCCGCCGGGACCTGGTCTTCCAGTACGTGGAGGACCCCACCATCGTGCGCATCGAGCCCGAGTGGAGCATCGTCAGGTAGGAGCCGCCCTGAGCTCCCTTCCTGCCTCTGCGCCTCCGTCTCCCTGGCCCCGGTCTCGGGAGCCAAGGAGGGTTCTGGGGGCCCAGTCCTGCTCTGGGGATTGCTGAACAATCCAAATACCAGCAAATACTAGCAAACGCGCCCACCCTCCTGCAGGGCTCCCTGCACCCTGGGGAGCTACCAGCATTCAGGGCCCAGCTGCAGGCAGCCTTGCCCATCCCTCCTTCCTTCCACTAAAGACTCCCGGGCAGAGTGTGGCCCTTGCTCGGTCCTTGCTCCTTCCTAACATCCAACCCTCATGCACGAGGTGGCTGACCCAGGAAGCAGCGATTGGATGCTGTTATAGAAAGGCCCAGGGCAGGGGTCAGGCCCTTCAGCCATTCACCCTGGGCAAGTCGCCCTTCCTGGGTGGGCCTCCACCCCTTGAGGGATTGGCCTGGGGATTTGGAAACTCTGGGTCTCTAGTGTCTTGCGTGGCACATGCCACATCAGAGTGGAGCTGCCGGCAGACACCACACGAGTCTGCTTTTCCAGTCCCGGAGGACACAGAGAGGAGAAGCTCTGCAGAGAGAGCCTTTCTGCAGGGCCCACTGAGGTCCCCCCCACCACCCCCCGAAAGCACTGCAGGGGGTGGGGACAGCAGAGTGGGGAACAGAACAAGGGCTTGGGGCCCAGGGGAGTGGGCTCAACCCGGCTATGCTGCTTAGTAAACAAGTGACCTTAACACTCCTGCCCTCCTGGGGCGGGGGGCCTCTGGCCTCAACTTCCTCCCGAGGCAGCTGGGAGAAGGGAATGAGATGCAGACTCCATGCAGCTTCCTGTCTGCCCCCTGCCCAGTGCGCATCCTTCCCTGCCTGCTCCAGCTAGGAGGGGCCTGGGCTGGAGGGAGGAAGGGAGAGGAAGTGTTCTCCAGGGTTGGGGCAGTGATGAGCCCCATCCAGGGAGCAGTCTCTAAGCCAGGGACCCCCGGGCTCCCTCTGGCTGCCACCTGCTTTTGTGAATACAGTTCTGCGGGACCACGGCTACTGTGCTGTCTGCAGCAGCTCTCTCACTACAGGGCACGGCCGAGTGAGACCACAGGGGCCGTGTGGCCTGTGGATTCTAGAATATTCCAGCCCTTCCAAAAAGAGCTCACCACCCACTGTCTCAGCCCAAAGGAAAGGCAGCTCGGCTGCTGAGCTGTGGCAGTCCCCGCAGTCCCTCTGTAAGGCCCACACTCTGATGCCGTGATCTTGGAGCAGATACAGAAGACAAGGCTCACGGAGAGGGAGCAGCTTGTGAAGGCCAGCAGGGTCTGACCCAGGGCCTGACCCAGGGCCAGGGCAGGCTTCCTGCTCACACGGAAGCTCTGCCACTCAGAGGATCCCCAGGTGGCTCTCAATCAGCTCTTCCTCTTGTCATCGACCCAGAAGTACAAGTGTCCTCCTCCCTAGTGTTCAGCGTCATCCCCACGTCACACCCATATCAGGAGGGAGGCTGGAGACATGTCCTGGGACTGCCAGCAGCTCCCCTGCGGTGACTCGGGTTAAGAAGTCTGAGGATGGGGTTGGGCTCTGCACTAGGCGTGACTTGGCCCTGAGTTCCTCAGGGACATGATAGGAACATGTGCAGCTGCATGTGGAATTGGTGACTGACAAGACTGGAGAGATGGCTGGACACCAGCCACTCATGTGGACTGCTGCACAGGAGAGGCGTGTGTGCGTGTGTGTGCGTGTGTGTGTGTGTGTGTGTCTGTCTGTCTGTCTGGAAGTTCAGCTGGGCAGATGGATAGATGGGCAGAAATCAATGTGGGGGTGGGAGCTGAGGACCCTAATCCGCTGAGTTCATGCCTAATTAACTTGATAAACCCTGTTTTACACAGGAGGGTTCTTCTCAAAGATGCTCCCACCATTGGGAGTCAGGCTTCCTTGCTCTCCCTTGGGTGGCCCCCAAGAAGGACAGCCAGCAGAGAGCTGTGCCCACCCCTGCCAGCTTCTTGGCCTCCTGGAGATAGTGGCACCTTTCAGAAGCTACCCCCAGATGCATAGCCTAAGTCTTCCCCATCGGTGACCCGGTGCCACCCAGGGTGTAGGAGGCCTGTGTCCCAGGTCATCTCCCGTTTGCATTCCTGAGGGAGGTTTCTGTGCCCTGCCGCTGCCCGTCCCAAACCCCAGCCTCCCTGGAGCCTCTGAGGTGGAAAGCTCTGGTGCGATGTCCCGGGGTCGCGTGCAGGGGGCTGTGCTCAGACCCTGGGCCCGGGGGAGGGTCTAAAGGAGGCTGCCGTTGACCAAGGCCGACACAGGGAGGTCCAGGAGTGGTGAGGCCGGAGGAAGAGGCTCTGGGCTGCAGAGAGCCAGCTGGTCAGGTCAGGGTCTTCAGAGAGCCCAGGGGCTGTGCTGTCACCTGAGCCTCCACAGGTGTCCCTGTTCCAAATGAGCTTGGCCGAGGACGTCCAGGCCATCTGGTCATGCCTGTCTTCCCCTGGGCTGCTGAGGAACGTCCTTGCTACCAGGCAGCTTGTCACCCTCGCCCCCAGGGACACTGTTGTGCTACCTGATTGCCGCTGTTCTTATTGTCATAGCTCCTCCTCTTCCTCCTCCTCCTCCTCCTCCTCATCATCCCTCATTATCATCATCACTGTCACTGGGTGCCATGGCCTTTCCAATACCGGTGACCCACATGCCCCTTTCTTTCTCCCGGGCAGTGGGAACACACCCATCGCTGTCTGGGGGACTCACCTGGACCTCATACAGAACCCCCAGATCCGTGCCAAGCATGGCGGGAAGGAGCACATCAATGTGAGTCTGGGGCTGGGAGGGGCTGCCCCTGGCACACGGCCTCCCGGAGGTGGGGGCTTCCTTCCCAAGCACGCATGCAGCCCCTGCCCTTACACAGGCACCTACAGCATCCTCCTGGGGTGGCAGGACAGGGGTAGAGGTGAGGGATACAGGCCCGGAGGACCAACCCTCCTGGGAGTTTCGGGGGCTTCCAGCCCTTGCATCCTCTGAACCCACAGCCGCTTCCTGACTTAGAAGGCACCTGAGTCGTTGCCGTAGGTGAAGCCAGGACTGGGAGACAGCCACAGAGGGCAACCCTGGGTGCCCCAGTGTGGGGTCCTGGCTGCCTCCTCCCAGTCCCCCCGTGTTAGCCCACGCTGCGTGGACAGCTCCCCAGGAGGCCAGGGGCAAGCTTGCCTTGCCTCCCGTCTGTCTCTGGCTCCTCCCACAGATCTGTGAGGTTCTGAATGCCACCGAGATGACCTGCCAGGCCCCAGCCCTCGCCCTGGGTCCCGACCACCAGTCGGACCTCACCGAGAGGCCTGAGGAATTTGGCTTCATCCTGGACAATGTGCAGTCCCTGCTCATCCTCAACAAGACCAACTTCACCTACTATCCCAACCCTGTGTTCGAGGCCTTCGGTCCATCAGGGATCCTGGAGCTCAAGCCTGGCACCCCCATCATCCTAAAGGTAGAGCCAGGCCTTGGGAGGAAGGAGGCCGCTGCAGGGAGGGAGTGGGATTCGGTCACAGGGAATCGCCGGAAGTCACAGGCTCAGGCCAAATATTGTGACTGGACCCCTTGCAGAGGTTGCTTAAAGTCCGGAACAATCCTTATAGGCTTGATCCATCCAGGGCAGGCAGATCCGCCCAGGTCACTAGATTCAGAGGGTTTTGTCTTCAGAGTCCAGAAACTTGTCAGTCAGGCCCACACTGCATCCTCCTATGAAGCCCTTTGCTAAGCACAGTCCAGTTTCTTTGGAGTATGGATTGTAACGTAATTTTAACTCACATGACAATTTGAATCAATGGGTAGTGATTGACTACAAATCTGTTGAGAAGGATTCTGAGGCTACATTAGGAATAAGCTGAAAAGAGTACTTTGATTATTGATTTCTCACTGGGAGGAAGGGAGAATGGTAGTGTCCATGCTGTATTCATCTGTTTTCTGTTACTATCACAAAACACTTGAGGCTGAGTACTTACAAAGAAAAGAGATTTATTTAATTCAAACTTTTAGAGACTGAAAGTCCTAATAGCATAGTACTGGCTCCCATGAGGACATCATGCTGGGAGGATGTGGGAGAAGAAGAGATCATGTGGAGGGACAGGAAGCCAGAGGTCAGGGAAGTAATGCTCTCCCTCTAGGCCCCACATCTTAAAGGTCCTACCACCTCTTAACATTGCTGCAACAGGGACCAAGCTTCTGACACATGGACCTTGGGGGGGACAAACCACCTGCAAAGCACAGTAGGTGCTGTAGATTATTTGGGTTTATCACTAAGGGTGGACTCTCCACCCACTCACCACCATGATGGGGTGTCCGGGTGGCCAGTCAGTGTGGTCCTGACCCTGGGGTGGGAACTGGGGCTTCCTGTCTGTGCAGGGCAAGAACCTGATCCCACCGGTGGCTGGGGGCAACGTGAAGCTGAACTACACCGTGCTGGTTGGGGAGAAGCCGTGCACCGTGACCGTGTCAGATGTGCAGCTGCTCTGCGAGTCCCCCAACCTCATTGGGAGGCACAAAGTGATGGTGAGGCTGGTGGGACCCTTTCCTAAGTGGAGTGGGCCTGAGGGACACAGGGGACAGCGGTCCTGCTACATCTGGGCCAGCAGGGCCTTTCCGAGGGTTCCAATGCTAGCCCTGGGAACTTCCCACCCAGTACCCCATATCCTACTTCCTTCTTCCGTCCCACTTCTCAGCTTCTCCCTCCTGTACTTTCCCTCTTGCCCCATGTGCCCCGCAGGCCCGCGTCGGCGGCATGGAGTACTCCCCGGGGATGGTGTACATCGCCCCTGACAGCCCGCTCAGCCTGCCGGCCATCGTGAGCATCGCGGTGGCTGGAGGGCTCCTCATCATCTTCATCGTGGCTGTGCTCATCGCTTACAAACGCAAGTCCCGCGAGAGCGACCTCACGCTGAAGCGGCTGCAGATGCAGATGGACAACCTGGAGTCCCGCGTGGCTCTGGAGTGCAAGGAAGGTAACTGAATGACCAGAGGCGGGAGCCCGTGCTGGAGGCTGTGTGTGTGTGTGTGTGTGTGTGTGTGTGCGCGTGGCTGCACCTGCCACTCCTACCCTAGGCCGCAGGCTGGGCAGCGGTGGGAGTGCTGGGGCAGGCCCCTGCTGCAGAGCCCTGCGGCCAGCTCTGAGCGCATGTTCCAGAGTCCTGCTCTGGTGACCTCGGGGGAGGTAAGGCCACCTCCCAGGCTCAGTCCGGGAAGGGAAGGCTGCAGGGCTGATCTGCCGTTGGGAAGGGAGAGTGTTTCTCAGCTTGTGTTTATGAAACTCACAAACACCACTACCAAGTGAAATCAGCCACACGAAACCTCGTAACCCCAGGACGTCCTTGCCTGAGTCACCCTGGGAGGACCGATCCCAGCCGGGTCTCTGCCATCAGTGTGCACGGAGTGGACCTGGCTGTGGACCTGGGCTCCCACAGCACCCACTCCCACCACGGCTGATCTCAATGGGGAACTGGATCCACTCTGTCCCCTCCCTGCGTCCCTCAGCTGACAACCTGGCATCCGCCTTGTGGGACTGTTAATTACTGCCTTTTATTATATTTACGCTGCTTAATTTTTTTTTTTCCGTAAAGTACTCTTCCCTCTAATTAGGTGTAGTGATTAGAATCTCTTTTATGTGTGGCAGGCACGAGCCTTTGAATGTTGGGGGCGCTGGGTGACTTGAAGGAAAGCTGCAGACCCATCAAAAGCCCGGTCCCTCCTTCTCCTTGGGGCAGCTGAGGGGAGGGTGAAGCTGGGTTCTACCCGGAAGGTCCCTGGGGAGGGAGGCTCAGCAGGAAGAGGCAAATCCAGCCCAAGAGTAGAGGCTGAGAGGGAGCTGTGGCTTCTGACTTGGGGACAGCTATGCCACCAGGGTGGCAAGAGGGATTCTCCAGGGTGCTGGGGCTGGTGTCATGGAGACCACACAGTCACCCACACCCAAGCTCAGAAGACGCCCAGCCTGGCCCTGCCTGGGCGTGAGCTTTGGATGTGTAAGCACACGCCCGTGTGCACACACACTCCCACTCCCTACCACTCACTGCTCACACTCAGACACTTAAATTCCCACACGTGCACACATTCCCACCCCCTCCTGCAAACATGCAGATGCATGTTCTACCCTCAGGATGGATGAGTGTTTGCCAGGCTTGTGGTGCCTGTGCATGCCAGAGAGGCCTGCTGATTCCCCTGCACACGCGCGCGCGCACACACACGCCTGCACACGCACACTCCCAATGGAGTAAGTTCTGCCTGGCTGCATTAGGGCTTTCTGCCTTCGGGGTCACTGCATGACAGGAACAGTGTCCCTGTAGACAGCAGAGGTGGGAGGTGCAGGAGGAGAGGAGCAATGGAGTGGCCATGGGGACATCTCCCCACCTATCCCAGGTCCTTTCTCTCAAGCCTCGGTTTTCTCCTTTTATCAGGACCCGCTGAGAGCTTTAGGCCTGAGATCTGCAGGAGCAGAGCTCCCCAAAATCAGTAGCAAGGGCAGGACAGGGCCACACCCACCGCTCCGGAGGTACCTAGTGATGTTCATGTATCACAGCCCGCGGGGCACTGGGCTTGCTTCTCAAGGGCCCTGGAGACATGCTGGGCTGTGAATCCCTTCTGAGCCCACAAAGTATTTTTTTTCCCTGTTCCTTAAATGTACACAAATAGAAATTTTGGTTAGTCAATGTCCCTGGCTGTTCTTCTATGCCAACATGTATTACTTCATCCTGGATGTGTGTGTGTGTAAGTGTGTGTGTGTGTGTGTGAGTGTGTGTGTGTGTGTAAGTGTGTGTGGGGGGGGCGGTATGTGCATGCACCAAAGAGAAAGTTGGAGGAGCGGGAAGCTCCTCACTTAAGTGCCTCTGGTGGCAGAGGGTGACCCCAGAAGAGGATGGATGTAGTGGCAGCTTTGGTGCTGCGTAACAGAGTTTTCTGGGAGTCTGCTGGGGTCTGGCAACTCTGTCCAGCTGGAGGCCCGAGCTGCCTCCACAGGCAGCAGGACCCACCCTGGGATCAGAACTCATCCCCGTAGCACACCCTTGAAGCAGGCAGGACAGGGCACGCCGCTGCGTATCCACAGGGAAGGAGCAGACTAGCACGGCAGTCCCTCCTTGGGAGCCTTGTTTTGAAGTTTGAATGATCCCAGTGAACTGCCTGGTTCAGAGCGGGGCCCTCAAAACTTTTTCCTTTATCAGAAGAAATTGTTCTTTAATTTCCTGAGGAACAAAACACAGCACAGGAACAGACGGCCACGTGCCCTCTCCATTCTCTCCTCCCGTCCCTCCTCGACACCTCTCTCCCCTCCCCCCACCCGCCACCCCCAGCCCATTTTGCAAAGCAGAGCCCTTCATCTCGGGGTGGGGGGGTGTTCCCTAGCCCCGGCACAGGTCTGCAGGCCGCCTTGCCACCCCCTGCCATTCCTGAGGGAGGCAGCTCCCTGTGCACATTCTCCCAGTGCACCTCCCCCCATTCTGATGCCACCAATCCCCATCCTGCTCACCCGAGGTCCCTTGCTCCCGTCTCCTCGGGGCCTGGGAGAGGCCCTGAGCAATCCTAGCTCAGGTAACTCTTGGCCACCCCATCCATGCTCTCGTGGGATTCTCTCCTTGCCAGCTTTTGCCGAGTTGCAGACAGACATCCATGAGTTGACCAGTGACCTGGATGGGGCTGGGATCCCCTTCCTGGACTACAGGACCTATACCATGCGAGTGCTGTTCCCAGGAATTGAAGACCACCCTGTGCTCCGGGACCTCGAGGTAAGAGGTGGTGGCCAGGGCTGGTGTGAGAGCAGGACAGCGTGTTGGCAGCCTGCAAGTCCACCCCCCTCGTTTGGAGATGAGAAAGCTGAGATCAGGGAGGGGAGGTACCTTTTCTGGGGTCCTCCGGCTTGTGGGCACCAACCGGGCCCTCTGGAGGAGATGAGGCCAGGCCAAGGGAACCTCAGAGCAGGTGTGAATAGTGCTTAGGGTCCTAGGGAGTCATGAGCCCTTGGGGAGTTGAATGGACATTAAGGACTCTCTCCCCAGAAAAACGGAACCTGTATAGAGAAACAAGAAACCTGGCTGATAAGTTGAGGGCGTTCATGAACCCCTGTTTAAGAAACCACAACATAAAGGATTTTTATCACTTAGTGGGTACGCCATAAATGTATAAGGGATTTCACCACTTGGTGCTTAGTTGGGAAAGATAAATGATGTGTAAAGAAGGGAGGGGAAAGTGAATGATAAAATCCTAGCCATCTTTCTTCCAGCGGGGACCTCGTCTTCTGAACACTTTATCCCACTTACTGTCTAGCGTGGTATCTGGCTTATGCATATATTCATATTATGCTTTGTTCCAAAAGGGCTTGGGAATGGCTTATAAAGATAAATACAAGAGAAAACTGAAAAATATAAATGAGGAAACCAGGGCATAATCATAATCCTAAGGAATGATCACTGTTAGTTGGATGTTAGTAAGTCCGCACACAGCTTCAAGAGCTTTGCATAGATCCATTCATTTAACCACCTAGAAACCCTCCGAGTGGGTGAGCCCACTTCACAGGTGACAAAACTAAGGGAACAGGGAAAGCCAGTGGTTGTCTGGAGCCATGCAGCTCCTGGGACGGAGGCAGGGGTTGAGTCTAGGCAGTTAGACTCCAGCAGGCTCGTTCCCTGTCCCAAGCCTGGGCACTTGACCTTGAGAGTGCTACCACAGTAACCTGCCTGGGACCTCTGGATACTTAACTAGGATTGAAGAGAAATCTGCAGCCAAAGCCACAGTGGGAAAGAGATGAACTCCAAGATGGACAGGGTCCTTAAAATAAAAATGGACCCTTTTCTTGGGGTTTAGGAGACGTTGCCAATATTGGTGCCTGAGGAGTGTCACTTGGGCTCTACAAGGGTTGTGGCAGGCAGTGACTTTGCAGCACAGGCACTTCCATTGCCACGCTTGTGGCACACACTTTTTCCCATGCTGCTTGTTCAATGGAGCACGTGTGTGTTTCTACAGTGAGGCTGTGGGTGTTGGTGTCTAGGGGGGCTCCCGTTGGCTCCTCACCATGAGGCATTGTAGAGGCACTAGGCAGTGGGCGCTCTGTCCTCGCTGGTGATGTACCTTTTCTGTCCACATGTGTTTATGCATGGATTTACACGTGAATCTTCTATCACATAAAAAGGCCAGGTGTCTCAAGACGTCTGTGTCCACAGCAGCCCTGGCCTGGCTCCTGGGCTGGGCTCCTTTCTCTTTCCCTCTCATCTCTTCCTGCCTTTCCCCTTTCCTTCAGCCTCTCCTTTATTTGCATCAAGACACCAGGCTTCTTGGGGCACTGAGGTGTAGGCAAGTTCTAGTTAAAGTGGGAAATGGGAGCAAGGCACAGTGGTAACACGCCTGTAATTCCAGCTCCTCCCAAAGCTGAGGCAGGAGGAGTACAAGTTCAAGGTCAACCTGGGCAATTTAGTGAGACACTGTCTCAAAATAAAAAAATAAAAAGGGTTGTGTGTGGAGCTCAGTGGGAGAGCACTTGCCTGGCATGAGCAAGGCCCTGGGTTCAATCCCGAACACTGCAAAAAACAAAACAAAAAACAGCCACGGAGTGATGGCTGTGTGTGTGGACGTGTGCAGACTGTGCTCCGCTTTATTAATCTTTGTGATTCCACCTTCCAGCCTAGTAGGGTGCTTGACAGAATAGACATGCAGGAAACAGTGAGCAACCACAGAACTGAATGTCTGCTTGTTTATCTTCAGGAGGGTGGACTCGGCAATCTGGGAAGGGGATTCTGACCCCTCTGGGTGGGATAGAGAAGATTGTAAGAATTCAACTAGGATGAGTATCTGCACTTATTCTCCTTTTTTCACTAGTTCAAAACTCTAAAAGGTCTAAGTAGGCTTTCTTTAGGGTGTAACTTCTTAATTGTATTTTCTAAGACTGTGTCAAAGTTACGTTGTGGCAGGACAGTCACCTCCCACATAAGTTTTCTCTTGGTGGGCACACATGCACTGCCCTCCCCATCTTTTATCCAGACTGTTGGTACGGCCCACGTTAGCTCTGCTCCTGTTCTTCACTTGGTCCCATCTGTCTTATGGCTTTCCTCCATCTTCTTGCCTCTTTGTAGAGTCTCAGACTCTCAGATCTGGCTTGGCACTGGTTTGGCATATACTCAAGGGACTGCCAATGGTGACATCCCTCAAAGGGCACAGAGGATAGAGAGGGACTCTGAGACTCAGGACTCAGGGTTCTGGCAATTACCCTGCCAGTCTGCATTCCCCACAAGGTGCTTTCCGTGGACGTGCCCCATCTGGGCTCCAAACCCATGGTGTAGATCACACTGTGTCCCATCCTGGCCTGGCCTGCTTCCTCATCCAGCACCTGCAGATCTCCCCGCAAATATGACTACTTCCCATTGTCTTTGACTTTGTCAAAAAGGGAGACTTTCTGACCCCCCAGCCTCCTGCTCTCAAGGAACTAATCACCAGCTTCACTCCTGTCTCTGTGTAAGGAGCCCACAGTTGGCTAATCGTCAGACATGGGCAGTCACAAATAGGTCACGTGACTGTAAAAATTGTAGTACAATATACATAACGTGGCATTTACCACTTCTGCCATAGACACATGCTGAGTGCCTCTGCCTCTTTCCAAACTCAAGCATTAGCTACTGGTTCTCCCCACCCCAACCACCGTGGGCGGCCGCCCTTTACTTTCTGTGAATCTGCCTATCTAGAGACTTCGTATGGGTTGAGTCACACAGTATTTATTTGTCCTTGTCTTCCTTTAACCCACTCAAAGCAGTACTGCTACAAGGTACCCTAATAAAAACAGAAAATGCCATCTGCCAGGTCCCCATCACATGTAGTGCACAGTGCCAGGCACATTACGTTCATTATTTCAATGAAGTCTTCTAATGACCTTGCAGGGATGAGATGGGATCTTTTAGTAATCTCTCAGGATTATTACTCTTGTTCCAAGGCCACCTAGCTGGTGAAGGGCTATGCTGGATCTCCAAACCCAAGCTTGTCTGGCTTCCTAGCACCAGGCCCTGCCCCACCTTTCACCACAAGGAACCCTGTCCCTGGCTTCTCCCTGTAGCTTTCCCGTGCCAGATCTTCTAGTTTGAATCTTCAAATTGGCTGTCAAGAGAGAGCAGCCTTGGGCAGGTTTGGCACTATGGCACCTGGAGAGGCAGAAGAGGTCACAGGGACAGCTAAGTGCCATACTGACCATGACATGCATGCTGGGCCTCCTGCCTCTGCTGCACTTTCTGCAAAACACAGAGGCCACCTGGGCAGCAAGTGCCTGGGACCCTGGGCAGGAGGCTTTTAGCACAGCCACCTGTAGGAAATAGCATCCAGACCAGCAGGCTGGGTTTTGGAATTGGAGACCACAGTGACGTGTGTGTGAAGGAAAACTCCATCACCTCTGGGGTCTATTGCCTCATCTGTAAAACGAGAATATGAGAGCCGATGTCATAATGTTTTACGAACATTAAATAAGATAATGTATGTAAAGTGCTTGGCAGGTGCCGTGCGCGCATTAACAGCAGTGGCTTTATCACCTGCTCCATTGACTGCATTTCACAGATCCCTCTCGCCCAGGAGTTTCCGTGACATCTAATGCATGGCACCCCTTGTCTTGGGGTGCACAAGGTAGATAGATGCCTTTTCCCCATTTTATGGACGGAGGAGATGGAAGGGAAATATCTTGGTAAGGAGTATCCAAAACCATCCTCCCCCCAGGCCAATGCCATTCTGAAACAAGACTTTCTTTATTCACCAGATGGTTCTCTAATTTAGTCGAAGTCTGTGAATATAAAACTGGATAGTAAACTTTAATTGTAACCCAACAGGTTAGAGTTTAGAGCTGGTGAGGGGTTGAAATTGGGAGACTGTGATTGACGGCTTCATGTTTTAATTGGTGTGTGAACAGTGCCTGGACTTAGCCAGTAGGCCACAAAAAGGGGGGCCTGGTGATCTACTCCTTAGGACAGTCTAACAAGAGGACACTTCCCTCCTCACACTTCCAACTAGTGACTTCACGGGGTGGGCAATACTGCTTTAGATCAACTAGAAGCTTCCCCTGGAACGTTTCCACACCAAGAGGGAGAAGCATCTGTGTAGGAGGGTCACGGGATTGGGGGGAGGTCAGTGGGTGTCAGACGGCAGATTGAGGCCTGGCTATGGCGGGGAGGCTGCCACAGGTCCCTTGCCAATTCCTTCTCAGCTCCCGGGGGAGTGGGAAACGAGGGAGCCAGGCATGAAGCAAGCAGAGATGGCCCCCCTTGGGGAGCGAGGGACCCTTGCGGGTCAGAGGGCTGTTCTGAGAGCCAAGATGAGCTGCAGGGTGGCCCTGGCCAGCACCTGCTGTACCTGTTGGCTCTGGCGAGTTCTCATCTCTCTCCTGAGAACCGGCCTTCCAAGTACCTGCTCCACAGCAAGACAGACCCGCGGGAGCTGTTGATGCCAGGCAACCAGAACGCTCCATGGGGGCGCTGCTCTGCAGGGCGCAGGGCGGCCCACAGCGCCCTCTACAGAAGGCCTCAGGTGGCCTCAGGCAGCACTCGGGCCTGTGTAGCAGTGCCCTCCTGTGCGCACCCTACCTGTTCCGGGGCCAGGAATGCTTCTGCCACCTCCCATGACCCCAGACAGATAGGCTTTCTCTGGCGATCTCTGTCTTTGCCAGTTTGAACCTCAGGAGCACACATTGTCCCTTAGTCCTGTGATGCCCCAGGAGGTGGGAGGATGTGACACGGACTGCTGGTCTGGCCTGACGCTTCTGTCTTGGGGACTTGGGAAAGCTCCTTACCCTCACTGGGGTCCTAACAGGACCTGCCTCCTCGTGGGTCTTGTGGATTAAATGGGTCAATGATTCCTAGATCCCGTGGAACAGTATCTGACACAGAATAAGATCCAGGTACATATCATGTGTTACTTGTTATCTTCATTTTGCTGGTGAAATTAAGTCTACTAAGAGTCCCCGCTAGTCAATGACGGCGATAGAAGTAAACCCAAGTTCCCCCAACTCTGAAACCATGCTCCTGATGGCTGCCTATGTGACAGTCCTTCTCAAAGACTGGAGGTAACTCCCCTTGGGGGTCTGATGCCCCCCTGGGGTGATTTTGTAGTCACCTTTTGTTTGCTCAGATGCAGATGCTGGAGCAACACACAGGTTGTCAGTGTGCCGGTCAATGACCTTCCCCCAAGTTGGCCCACCTGGCAAGCCAGCGTCCAGGTGGAGAAGCAGAGTGCCAGTCCTCCAGGGAGGGGCCCCCATGCCCCTTCCAGACACAGCCGCCCCCCAAATAACCAATAAGTCTATTTAAATGGAGTTATGTAAAGAGTGCATTTGACCTTTCTCATTCAGTATGTTGGAGAAGCTGGTCCCTGTATCATGGGCAGCAATAGGCCATTCCCGTCACTGCTGGACACCAGGAGCTCCCAGGCTGTAGTATGGCAGACAGTGCTGCCGAGCATATTCCTGTACATGGGTGGCTGGCGGGTGACTGCCCAGGGGGTAGTGCACCCTGCCTGGCCTCCCAGGAACAGACCCTGTGGGCAGGAAGGCAGAAAGCTCTTGTGCCCCCTCCTCTGGATGGAGTGGGTCTCAGAAGGTGTCCCATCACAGGCTAGAGTCAGTGAGGTCCTCGAGACCACTGGGCTCAATCTTCTCATTTTCTCAGGCTAAATTTAGGCCCCTAGAGAAGTGAAGGGACTTGTCCATGGTTACCTAGCAGATGGGGGCAGAGTCCATGTGGAACCCAGAAACCTTGACTCAGACCACTTGCCTGTCCACAGGACCCATGGGGTGGGGAGGACAGGGTGTTGGGTTAGCTAGAGGCTCAGTCCTGGTGACCCATCAGCAGGGTGCCAGCCACAGCAGCCCTGAACTGGCACCTTGTCAGCTCCGCACCACCATCAGGGAGGAGCTCAGGCCCCAGAGTCCAGCAGATGCGGGTTCAGATCCCAGAAGCGCCGTTTATGAACTGTGGCTAGTTCTGTCCTCAGCTGGATGGTCTCTAAACGGGAGGTAAAGACCTGTCGTGGCTGAGTACAGTGCTGGGCTCCTGGGGATGGACAGCATTAGCCAGTTGGGCTGCAGCGATAGCGATGGGTGAGAGGTGGGGTGGGACCCTCCAGCTCCCGCGGGAGGTCGCCAGGGCATCCTTGGCCTTTCCCGGCAGGTCCCGGGCTACCGGCAGGAGCGCGTGGAGAAAGGCCTGAAGCTCTTCGCGCAGCTCATCAACAACAAGGTGTTCCTGCTGTCCTTCATCCGCACGCTCGAGTCCCAGCGCAGCTTCTCCATGCGCGACCGCGGCAACGTGGCCTCGCTCATCATGACCGTCCTGCAGAGCAAGCTGGAGTACGCCACCGACGTGCTGAAGCAGCTGCTGGCCGACCTCATCGACAAGAACCTGGAGAGCAAGAACCACCCCAAGCTGCTGCTCAGGAGGTGAGGGTGTGGCCCAGGGTGGCAGCCGGGCGTCTGAGCGTCCCCTGCTGGCCTCCTCCAGGCTGAGCCACCTGGCTCCTGGAGCCTCCCAGAGACCAGAGGAGGCTGCAAGAGGAGCAGCCAGACTCCCCAAGGGTAAGGTACTGTGCTGCCAGAAGCTGAGCTCCATCCCCAAGACCCCGCCCACCACCCACCATCCAGCGCCCTCCTAGAAGCCCCTGCCTGTCACAAGGGTGCCTATTGGCTCACCCTCTGGTTTTCTTCCACCTGTATCTGCTTTCCACTTGACTTTATCTGCCCTTCCTCTCCCTGGATTTTGATGCCCTTCCTCTCCCTGGATTTTGATTCTCTGTGGATACTTCAGAGGTCATTTATGCCCATCTCTGGCCTCCTTTAAGCCAGAGCTGGAATTAGGAGAGAGACCCCATAGCTTCTTGCTGCCCAGGGCCCAGCAGCAGGTACAGCATCCAGGAGCTAGTTAGAAATGCAAAATCTGAGGTTCCCCCCAGACCCTGAATCAGAATCTGCATTTTAACGAGGAACCCAGGTGGTTCGAATGGCAGTAGAGTTGGAGAAGCACTGAGCACAGACCTTTTGGTAGCCACTTACCCAGTGCAGCCCAGCAGGTATTTCCTGATCCTTGCTGTAGGCTCTGAATAGGTCCATGGTGCACCTGCAGCTCCTATAGCACGCTGTTCAAACCAGAAAGGGCAGATGTGCACACGTGCCCATGCCCTGGCCTGTGGCTGCAGCCTCTGTCTATTTTTGCTTCTATTCGAGGGAAGTCTCCTCCGGGCTACGTGACTCCAATGTCTGTTGCCTTGGCGGATCTAAAGTTACAAAACTCCCACGTGAAGTGGTCACGGCCAGCCCTCTGCCCAGACCAGCTGTTGGTCTCTGCCTCTGTCTACCTGGCCCTTGACTTTCACCCTGGGTCTCTGGGTCCGAGGCTATGCCTCAGTGGCCCCTGCTTGGTCCTGCGGATAGATCTGGCTTTAGAAGTGTTCACTTCAGGCTTTTTCCTGGTACAGCGGGCACTCACTGGCACAGATGCCAAAGGTGGCTGCATAGAGAGGCAGTCATCCACCTTTGGAAACAGCAAGGTGGATCATTTTGATTTTTGTTTTACTTCCACCACGGAGCCACCCACCGGCATAATTCTAGGTTGCTGCTGCCAGCCAGAGCTCCCACCCATTTCCTGGTGTGGTCTGTCTCCCCGGCTTGTTTTCCTCTCCCACTCCCCCATGCCCCTGCGCCTTCTGCCCTCCTCCTCCTCTCTCTCCTTCTTGCCTCTGGCTGCCCACTTCTCTCAATATTCTTCTTGTTTCTCTTCACCTTCACTTTGGGCTGGCAGAGGCCCAAATGCTTTGGAATTTCAGTTACTAAGTATTTTCTGTCAACTGCAACTTTAAACTCCATACAAACATATGTGGATGGCAAACAGGTGGACGGGCTGGTTTTACTCTGGAGCTGGCCATGCACTCAGCAGAAGTTTGAATGTAATCTGTTTTCTCTAAATGGATGCAACCACAAATAATAACATCGCTGTCGCATCTTCACTTAAAAGAATAAGTGGGCTTGGATTGTAGCATGAAAGACTCAAGAAGGCACTTCCTCTCATTGCAAATCGTACTCGAGAAGGGTTTCCAGAGGAAGTTCCAAATTATGTGGAAGCCTTCGAAACAGGATGATTTTGACGTCTCGAGGGATGAACTAGGTTTACAGCTCCATGTGGCCCTCCATGCTTGGAGTCTTTAACTCCGGTTATGAGCTCCATCTGGATTATCTGGCCTTTTTTTTTTTGGCCATGATTCTCTTCCCCTGCTACTTTCTTTGATTTTCACTGCCGAATTAGGATCTCCCCTGATTTTGTTTGCTCAAGCAAAGTTCTCTAAGGCTGAGCTGCTCAACAGGAGAGCTACCAGCCATGGGCAACTATTTAAATCTGAATTCGTTAAAGTAAATAAAATGAAAAATCTCCCCTCCTCAAACACACCAGCCACAATCTTCACTTTTGATGGCCACATGTGGCCAGTGATCACCACGCAGGACGGCAGGTGGAGAACCCTGTCGTCGTCAACACAAAGCACTAGACAGCCCACTCTGAGCAGGCCCAGAAACTACCCACCTGTGACGTCACCCGATACGCTGCAGGTCCTTCTCCAGCTTGGAGATAAAGCTCCTCTGACCACCCTGGGAGCTGGGAGTCCACGAAATCTCCCTCTGGGTAGGATCTCATGCCTGGGCCTTGGAGCCTGAGCGGCAGGAGGGAGGCAGACGCCTTGCCATGCCACCAGGCCTGCAGGTTCTGACCCGCTACTTCTCTCTTTGTCCTCCTCTGCTTATTCCCTTGGCGTCTGGTGACAGGACGGAGTCGGTGGCTGAAAAGATGTTGACCAATTGGTTCACTTTCCTCCTCTACAAGTTCCTCAAGGTAGGATGGGACAAGGCCCTATTTCTGGCCCTGCTGTGATTCCCATCTTGGGGACCAGCCTGCATGCTCCCCAGCCTGCCCCATTCCATGCCGCACCCCCAAGTCCACTCTGGCGGGCCTCGCCACTTCCATCCCACAAGAAATGGATTTGCCCCTCATCACCGTCTTGAAAGACAGGGATCCCATCTGGCCCTAGTTTGTTTCTGGGACGAAATCCCTCGTGGCTGGTTTTTTCCCAGTTAAGGGGCGGAGGAGCCCCTGAGAGGGCCCTGCATGGACCTTCAAGCTAAGTCCCCACTTAAGCTGAAAATAGTTCATCTCTTACTTCCTCACGAATTCCTTTTCCCTCTCCCAGCCCCAGATTTAGGGAGGCTGATAAGGGTCCTGGTTAGGTACAGCAGCCACATGTCACAGCAGATAAGCCAAGATGTGCCTGGGAGGCGGGAGAACTGCTGGCTTCCAATGACCAACCTGTTTTCCTAGAGTTCATACCACAGAGGACCGAGCTCTGCTCTTGGTGGAGCCTCAGAGAGAGTGAAGGGAGGAGGTACGGGGGAGGGAGACAGGGAGGAAGGAGGAGCCGGCTCTAGACAGGAGGCAGGAGAGGGTGACATGGGGAAGACCCTGCGTCCAGAGAGCCAAGAGCCCCACAAATCTGAAGGGTAAAGAGTTACAGAAGAGAAAACTGGAAACTGATAAAGAAGCAGGTGGGTCCAGGAGAACGGCAGGACAGGAGCATGGAGTGGGCTCCGCACCCCTGCAATCCTGAAGCTCAGCGGCGTGTTTCTTGTCACATCCAGGAGTGTGCTGGGGAGCCCCTCTTCTCCCTGTTCTGCGCCATCAAGCAGCAGATGGAGAAGGGCCCCATAGATGCCATCACGGGAGAGGCCCGCTACTCCCTGAGCGAGGACAAGCTCATCCGGCAGCAGATCGAGTACAAGACCCTGGTGAGCCGCCCTCCACTCCTGCGAGGTCGTGGCACATGGGGCAGGAAGGGAAGGAAACTAGCAAGGGCCCCTGGTGGTTCTGCAGCCCCCACACCACCCACCAAAGTTCAAGTACTGTGGGGTGGGAGGCCAGGTGGCCTAGTGTGAGGCGTTCATCCAGGGAACTCGGAGATGCCCTCTGTCAATCAAGGTCAGGCCCTCCTCTCCTGGGGCGGCAGTTGCCCTAAGAGGCAGCAGAGCTTAGCAGGGCCCAGTGTTTAATATTGTAGCAGTAGAGTGTATTTTGACATATTATACACACATGGATTATAACTTCCCATTCTTGTGTTTGTACCTGATGTAATCGTATAGAGCACTAATCTCCAGGATATATATAAAAAACTCAAAAACTTAACACCCCAAAAACAAATAACCCAGTTAATAAATGGGCAAAGGAACTGAACAGGCACTTTATAGAAGAACAAATGTGAACAGTCAACCAATGTATGAAAAAATGTTCAACATCTCTAGCAGTTAGAGAAATGCAAATTAAAACCACACTGAGATTCCATCTCACTCCAGTCAGAATGGCAAATATCCAGAATACAAGCAATAATAAATGTTGGTGAGGATGTGGGGGAAAAGATATGCTCATACATTTCTGGTGAAGACTGCAAACTGGTGCAACCACTCTGGAAAGCAGGTATAGAGATTCCTCAGAAAACTTGGAATGGAACCACCATTTCAGTTTTCCCACTCCTCAGTATTTGTCCAAAGGACTTAAAATTAGCATACTACAGTGACACATCCACCTAAGTGTTTATAGACGCTCAATTCACAATAGTAAGCCATGGAACCAACCTAGGTGCCCATCAGCAGAAGGATGGATAAAGGTTGTGGCTTTGGAATCAGACAAACCCAGATCTGAACCCTGACTGGGTACATTGAGGCAGGTCCCTAACTTCTTTGAGTTTATGTTTCTTCATCTGCAAAAAGGGGATTGTAGAATCTGTGGGAATGGGAATAACAGCAGCTGTACTGACTGGAACTGTCCAGGGAATTGAGGGAGCCCAGTGCCCAGGTGGGGATGGCAAGCAGGCGTTCACTCCCGCTGGCTCAGGCCAGCCTTCCAGTATGGCTATTCAACCACCTCCTGGCTGCCCACCATCCTTCTGTGCCCAGGGTGACCCTCAGGCTTTTTTTGGAGAGAACTGTGATATCCTTCCAAGTCTTTTTCTCCAAGAAAGAGGAGAGGAAGTGGAAGGAGGAAGGAGTATACAAAACCGTGTTGAGGGTGAAATCCAGGTGACCCCCAAGAATGTTAGCAAAAGAGACAGCCAGGGAGTGAAGGGGACAGGGAATAGATGGAATTAAAATGGAATCAGCAGGACACCAGACAATGGTGGCGGGAGGGAGGGGGTGTAGCAGAGCTGGGAGAGACAGATGCTCCGACACCCCCAGTTGCTCTGAGCCCAGGGTTGGGATGACCCCACAGCCTGCAGCCAGCTGGGGAGATGGTCCCTACCTCTGGACAAAGCTGTCCCTCCTGGCTGGAGGGCTGTGACCACAATTCATCGGCCCCCACCCCCATCTTCTGAGAGCCCTGGGGTATCCCAGAAGATATGGCTGCTTCTACTCCCGAGGACAGTTAGAGACACCAACAAAAATGGAAAAGTGGCAGGGGGGAGGCCTTCCAAAAAACAGAGACCTGAGGGCTGGGGATGTAGCTCAGTTGGTGGAGTGCTCGCCTCGCATGTGCAAGGCCCTGGGTTCAATCTCCTGCTCCACACACACACACACACACACACACACACACACACACACACAAAGACCTGAGCTGATTTCTTAGTAGGAAAAACTACCTTTGAGTCGCTCCTGCTCCCTCCCCTCCCCACCCCACCCCTTCCCTCCTGCTTCCCAATATTGAATGCAGCACAAAGAGTGGTGATAATGCTCCCCTACAAGTTGCAGCAGGCTTTGTTCCGAGGTCAGAGGATGGTTAGCTTACCCAGCTGGTTTCAGGTGACTGCCTCAAAGAGAATGTGAGGAAATTGGAGTGGGTCAGGGCCGAGCATCCATTAAGGTGGAAACACAGAGAGGCGGGGAGAAAAGGGGAAAGAAACTGTGATTGTTTTGCCTGGAGTAGACCAGGCTGCTGGGGGAGATTGCCTGGGCCCCTCGAGGCCCGGGGAGGGAGCTCCCCTGTGTGGAGGGGCAACCCCATCTGCTGAGGAGGGGGGAGAGGAAGGTACACGGTGCCACGGCAGCAGGCTGGACAGAGTCCAGGTGAGCTGCTCAGATACGAAGATGGGACCTGGTGGGGTTCTGCAGCAGCTGGAGGAGCCCTTAGGGGAACCTTGAGTAGGAACCTCGCCCTGGGCAGGAGGGACAACGGGTGGCTCTGAGAGACTCAGGGGGAGACCAAAGTGCACTTCTTTAATTCAGGTGCACCTCCTAAAAGTCCAATGAAATTGATGCTCTAGAACTTGGCCTGGCATGACCCAGGGCCCAGCTACTGGGAATGCCCCGGGACCCGCATCAGTAGTGTCTTGGAGCCTGCTAGGGTGCTGGGTGTCCCCTGGGAGCCTGCTAGAAACGAGATACCCTCCCAGGAGCCCACTGTAGTGCTGGGTGCCCCCTGAGAGTCAGCTGAAGTGCTAGATGCCCACCTGAGAGCTTGCTGGAGCACTGGGGGCCCCCTAGGAGCTCCCTAGAGGGTTCCATGCTCACCTGGGAGCCTGCAGGAGCACTCGACAGTCACCTGGAATCCTGCTGAGGGGCTAGATGCCCTCCTGGGAGCCTGCTAGAATGCACAATCCTAGGCCCCACCATGGACCTCCTGGACCAGAATCTGCGCCCTGCCCACGAGATTCTATCCACAAGAAAGTTCACGGGCACTTCCCAGCCCAGAGGGCCCCAGGGCATTTGTTCAGTAAGTAGCCAAGGAGCACAGGGGCCGGGAACTTCTGAGAGACTGTGCTGCGCGACCTGTGGCCAGGGGCCAGTGCCTCCGCTCTGGAAGGCTGGTCCTTGCCCTGAAGTATGCTGTGCAGCTGCTCCCCTGGGGCCACCCTGAACCTCTGGGGCAGGAGAGATGCCAGGAGCAGCCCCTGCCCCATGGTCTCTCCTGGGAAGAAGGCTGGAAAAGCCCTGCTCTGCCTGGGGGACATGGAGCCACCCACTCCTGGCCCCAGGACAGGACAGCAGGGGCAGCCAGAGCAGCAGGAAGGGTCAGGCCTGACCGCTGGGCAGGAGGGAGGGCTGCTGGGAGGCTCCCCAGGAGGGAGTAGCCAGGCGAAGGCACATGTGGACACGCGGTCCAGAGGTCCTGCCGCCCGTGTCTCCAGTTGGGGGCGCGTTGAGGATGAGTGTGGTTTATAGACGCAGAGGATTTCTCTTTCTCAGTGGAATAAGAGTGTTCCCCACTTGAGCTCATAACAGCCCCGTTGCTAACGAAAGGCAGCCGTCCAGCGCCGGGGAGCTGATTGCCAACACACGGAGCGCAGCGCGCGGGGCTCTGGTCTGGCTCTGGGAGCCACATGAGGCCACTGGGAAAGGGCTCTGGGGAGGGGGAGGGAGGGAAAGTCCCCAGCAGGAGAACAGCACGCAGAGGGCGCAGGCTCTGGGGCCAGAGGAGAGTCGGGGGGCCCAGAGAGCCTAGCAGCACCCCTGCCCCCCGGGGAACCCCAGGCCCCCCAGCTCCATCATCCATGCAGAAAGAGCCCACTGCAAAAAAGAGTGGAGGAAAAAAACCCTGGAACTTCTCAAAGGAAAATTCCAGAACTTCTTAAAAAAAAAAAAAATTGGTGAAGTAGCATTTTAACTTTTCTGACTTGTTCCCAAAAGAGAATGAGCCAGACGGTGGCCTTGTCTCCCACCAGGTTCAGGTTCAGAGCCAGAAGGGAATCTCAGGGGGTCCTAACCTGCGATTTTCCCAAGGGCACCTTTTTGAACACATCAAGCCTCTTGTACATTCTCCACCTTCCCCAAAGCCCTAACCCTCCCCAAATTAAAGTTATTAAAGCCTTTGGGACAGGAGCCCTGATCCCATTAGCACTGAGTGCACCTGTGCCTGGGAGGGAGCCATGAGGGTGACACAGAAGAATGGGTTCGAGGGTCTAAGGGTGCCACCAAGATGGTGTGTCAGGTGCATTTTGAGACAGGGCCTCACTAAGTAGCCGAGGCTGGCCTCAAACTTGTGATCCTCCTGCCTCAGCCTCCCCAGTAGCTAAGAGTACAGGCGTGGGCCACTGCACCTGGTGAGAGAGTTTTCGTGAAGTTCGTCCCAACAGGCAGTCAAGCATGGAACTTGCACTCCTGCAATGACCTTGAGCCTGGGAGTTGTCCTGCTTTTCTGAACGGAGAGGGCAGGGCACCTGGTGGGGACACAGGGCTGGCGCTGGAGAGGACAAGCTGTACAGGATCCCAGGGTGCTGCCGGGGACCCCTGAGCTCTTCCTGTGCCTCACCCATGTGCTCCCTCCCCGCCACCCCCAGGTCCTGAGCTGTGTCAGTCCAGACAATGCCAACAGCCCTGAGGTCCCAGTGAAGATCCTCAACTGTGACACCATCACTCAGGTCAAAGAGAAGATTCTGGATGCCATCTTCAAGAATGTGCCCTGTTCCCACCGGCCCAAGGCTGCAGACATGGACCTTGGTGAGTCGGCTGTCCCCCCCACCCAGGGGCCTGTCCCTGTGACCAGTCTTAGGACTTCCTGCTTACTCAGGGCAGGAGCAGCAACCCCGGGACGCAGGGGACGGAGGGACAATCAGTGGATGAGGAGGGGCATGGCTGGCCCCCTAGGAGCCCACAGGACTTGTCTTCATGGGCTGCTGGCATTGGCCAGAGCCGGTCAGCGAGCAATGGGCAGAGAAGGGGGGGGGGTGGCTCGCTGACGGTCTGATGGTGATCTGGCCTAGCTGGGGTCCTCTGAGTGACCAAAGGCTGGGAGTAGTGGTGTCGCATTCAGTGAAGGGATTTAAAGGCAAAAGCCGCTCGTCTGGTCTCCGAGGCGAGGTCTGGCTTCCGCTCCGCCCCCCTCTGTCCTGTGCCTGTAATTTTTGCTAAATCCCTCCTGCTCCAGAGATGTGGGTCAGCACAGAGAATGAGAGAAAGAATAAGAAGACCGAGCTAGGACAGGCTGCTGAGGAGCAGGATGACATGGTGTCCAAGTGTCCCATGAACAGATGGCCCCAGGCCTGCTGCCGAGGGCCAGTTGTACTTAGATCAGTTCTGGCTGGCTTGAGTGTCTCACAGGATGTCATCCAGGGGAGAGCCTCCTGGGGAGCCCCTGGCTCTGAAGAGGCCACAGTGGAAGAGAGACAGTCCAGCATTGTGGGACACCTGGATTCGAGTCCTGGTGCCACTCGGTCCTCGCTGTGTGACTTTGGCCACATTACTTAATCGCTCTGTGCCTTAATTCCTTGCCTATAAAATGGATATAATAATAATAATCTGTTTGATGGTAAAAATCTGGGGGGATGATGCATGCACAAGCCTTTTTCATGCAGTGTCTGGCCTTCAGTCCCCTCTGTGAGTGTTGGTTGCTGTCACCGGGGATGACGGTAACATGGGTAAGGGCAGTGGCTGTTCCTGACTGTTGGTGCTGGACAGGAGAGAAGGCCAAGGATTCCTGACAGCACGGGGTGGGAGACCCCTGACCCACCCATCCGGCCTCTAAGCTGGCTTCAGCTAAGCCACCCAGGACACATGGGCATCTGCGCTGTTTGCTGAAATCCAGAGGGAATTTCCACTCTGCGGCGCCACCCCCACCCCAGACCCTGATGGCCAGAGGGTCTTAGGAGCTGGCAGTTCTGCTCACTGCCTGCAGGTCTCACCTCTCCACTAACCCTCTTGCCTGGCTCTTGGCTGGACGCGCGCGGCCCTAGGCCCTGTGCTAGGGAAGAGAGATTGATTGTCTGGGGGACGTGGGGGAAGGGGATGGGAGTGGGTGAGTGTGCCCACGTGTGTGTCCAGGGAACTGTCCCCCGGGTGGGGTGGACGTGCGTGCCTGTGTGATGTGGCCTGTTCTGCGGCCATAAGGGGCCCCCAGACTTAGGAGGTCGAGGGCTTGCTGTGGAGCCCATGCCAGGCAGGCCCGGGGCTCCTCTCCCCCAGGTAGTTCACGGGGTGCTCCCTGACGGTTTCCGGGGAGTTGAAGAGGGCAAGCAGGTGGCACCCACCATTCACTTTGTTTTATTATCTGAGGGGCCCAGGGCAGAGGCCACCCCGCTCCTCGGTGTCATTATCTGCACAACCAGTGGAAGGATTCCCTGATAGAGGGGCGGAGAGGAGACGCCATTATCTGAGGTCCCTTCCTGAAGGCCGTGGGTCTGCAGAGGTCCTGCTGGAATGCAGGAGGACACCTGTGGGCGGTGTGCATGGTGCTGGGGAATCGGGAGCAGCAGGTGGATCAGGTGGATGGGGACAGCTTCTCCGCCTTACAAGGAGGGGCAGGGAATGGGGACTCCTGGGGCTGTGTGGCTTAAGCCCTTGAAGCCCAGGGATGGCGGCCAGCATTCTTTAGCTCCCCATGAGGGCGCATCCTCTGAAGCACAACCAGGGAGCAGCCCCTCTCTGTCTGCGGGTGTCCTGAGAGAAACCAGGACCCGCTGGGGACCAGTGCTCGGGAACAGTTTCCCGCCTGGCCTTCTCTGTGCCGAGGAGGGGAAGAAGCTGCTTGTTAGCTTTTTTGGGGGGAGAGGGGGCTGATTTGGGGATTGAACTCGGGGGCACTGGACCACTGAACCCCATCCCCAGCCCTATTTTGGATTTTATTTAGAGACAGGGTCTCACTGAGTTGCTTAGCGCCTTGCCGTGGCTGAGGCTGGCTTTGAACTCGCGGTCCTCCGGCCTCAGCCTCCTGAGCCGGGGGAGTTACAGGCGTGCGCCACCTCGCTTGGCTTGCTTGTTAGCTTTTGAAGACACTCCCTCTCCAGATCTGGGGGTGCAAACCCCACAAAGCAAATCTGCAATGGAAAGGAGGAGCACCTCTTGCAGTCCAGCCGCAGCCAGGGCCACCCCCTTCCAGCTATCCACCGGGAGGGCTGCTGGGCCAACAGGGCCTGCCTGACGGTGGCCGCTCTCTCAAGTCACAGGCTGCTCAGGCCAGAAAAAGGCCACCTCCCCCTGCTTCCCAGGGCACAGTCTCCAGGGCCACAGTGTTCACCCTGGCGCTCGGGCTTCGGGTCCCAGGGTCACAGAGGGGCCCCAGTCCCATTGCACATGCTGCCGGGCCACCCCCAGAGCAAGGCCCCAGAGCAGGGCTAATGAGGGAGAAGCCAAGGAGCAGAGGGCTCCGGAGCGGAGCTTCGGTTCACCAAGGGCCTCCTTCAAAGTGTCCCTTTGTTCCAGAATTTGGAGCTGACCCCCAACTCTGGCCTTCTTCCTGCCAGACTTAGTTTACATATAAGGAAAACGGGGCTCCCCTGAGGCCCAAATGCCCTTTCCACACACTTCCACCCTGTCCCCATGGGCAGAGCAGGTGGGTCCTTCCGTGGGGAGCCGCTGGACCGTCCTGCTTTCCACTTTCAAGAGTCTTCAATAAATGACAGAGGTGTTCAACAAGCTAGTGTAGAGCAGGCTTGTGACAGGGACGCTGCCCAGCCGTGCGCTACCGTGAGCATTGTGCGCACTCTACCAGGGGCCAGGCTGAGCCGAGGGCCAGTAGTGCAGGTGCCCCGACTTGCCATATTTTCATGTTATGATGGCTTTGAAGGACACAGCCCTCATAAATGGAGGAGTATGTGTAAGAGCGAGAGAGACAGACTTGTCTTAAGGAATTGGCCATATGTGATGGAGGCGGCCAGCTCCAAGTCTGCAAGGTGAGGCGGCAGGCGGGAGAGCCAGGGAAGAGCTGAAGGCCACCTGCTGGCAGAGGTCCCTGGTGCTCAGGGATGGTCAGGCTTCTGTTCTGTGTAGACCTTCGACTGATTGGACGAGGCCCACCCACCGTATGAGGTTGACCTGATTTAAATGTGAATCTCCTATACATACACCTTCACAGAAATATCCAGAATAATGTCTGACCCAATATCTGGGCACTCTAGCCAACCACGTATGGACAAATGAAATCCACAGAACCCAAATGGGGCCAGCGTCTGTTGGAATTTGTGGAAGGAAAGATAGTCAGAGGGCAAAGGTTGAGACAGCGCTGGGGTCTCAAAGCTCAGTATCCAGGTGAATATAGAAGCTGTCCTCACCAGGCTATGTCCCTTTCCACCCAGGGCAGGGCTTGTACCTTCTTGCACTACTCAACTCTTCCACGAACATACCAGGGGCTTACCTGTGTCAGCCTCTGTGCCCAGCATGGTGGTACCCAGAAGACGAGGTCAAGGTTGTCACTTCTGAGCACAGTAGTACAGGCAAGACATTTTTCTAAGATAAGAGACTCTTTGTCTCCTCCTTTCACTACCCAGAGGAAATAATTGATGCCACTCTACCCTTCCTGCCTGGATGGAGAATCTGCAGCTCAGACAGGCATAGTGCCCAGGCCCAGGTCACACAGCAGGGCAAAGGAGAGAACTCTACCTCCTCCCAGCCCATCTCCTCCTCAGGCCTTTCTTCTCCTACTACTGCCCATGACCTCCAGAGATTCCTCTAGTTTAATGCAAATGCTCTATCAATAGCCCCTGGAGCACCACCACCCCCTCTGTCTTGCAGCTCAGGTCACGCTGAAAGGATATATTTTTTCAAATAAGTAATTCCTGTATGCAATAAAAAGATACACTATCTTCTGAGTGAAATATAAAGAGTTCACAGCAGCTGTCCCCCCGTTTGCATTTTCCGCTGCACCTGATGGGAAGGACAGATAAAGATAATGGGATTTTTTTCTTCTTCTTTTTTTTTTTTTTATTCCACCTCCCTCTCTCCCTGGAAGGTGGAAGTGTAACAAATTGGATGGAGAGTGTGTCTGTCCTTTGTGCTTGGTGCCTGGAGCAGGGCACGGTGGCTGCCGGGCGCTGTGAGAGAGGTCACAGCTAGCAATCTTCTCTTGGTGCCATGCATATGAGTACCAGGGTCACCTTCCCTCCTCCCCGTGGCCACCTGCCTCTTTAACTCTTCTTTGACCTGATGAACTTCCAGGAGGGACACCAGAGCCCAGTGTTCCAGATTCAGGAAGATCTAGGGACTCTGGCTCATCTCACGTCAGCCCTGCCTGTTCCCCCCAAATCCCAACCAGCCGGGGCAGGCGCTTCCCAGTTTACAAAGACTCAGTGCCTTAAATGCAGACCATGTACTTCCATTCAGGAATTCATTTTTTTTTTAAGTGCCAACTTTCATGTTCGACCGTTTTCTGCTGGAGAAACAGCTCATCACAATACATTTAATTTTTTTGTCAAAAATACTTTTGCAGACCTTCCTCTCTCTCCCACTTCCAGCTCAATTTTCTGACCTTCCCAGGGGTCACTCTGACCCTCTCATGGCCTCTCCCAGCTCTTTTATATGGAGCAGTAGAGTCATCTCCACAGCCTGCGACTTGGGGTGCATGGGTTGGGGGTGCCGGGAGCCCCTGGGAGAACGGGCTTCCAGAGCCCCAGTGGGAACAGTCAGGCTGTGAAGCTGGTCCCCGTGGCCGCGTTGATTCCCTGGGCTCGGACTAGCCTGGTGGGTCTCCTCCGGCCCTGGCCTGCCTGCACCAGCCCCGGGGCCTCCTGGGATGGGTCTCAGGGGGATGGCAACAGGCAGGATTGCGTGGGTCCAGATGAGGTGTGCCTGTGATGGCGTGTGTGCGGGTCCCCGTGTGTCCCCCTGCACACCTCCACCATGACGGCCACAGCTAAGGAGATGTCAAGTGTCCCGGGGAGCGTTTGCCTCTTGGTGTCAGGGCTGGTGGGTAGGGACCCCTCCCGGGTCCAGGCCAGTAGTGATGCCCTCAGAGTCAGCGACTCCCTCCAGGCTGGCTGCTGGAGATCCCTCCCCTTCCCTCTGCCCAGATTCTCACTGCCCACCACACACCCCACATACTCAGGGGCAAGCCCCGGGGCTCCCACGTCCCCTGGAGCATTGCTGGGCATTTCTGGTCCATTGCCTGAGCACCCCGAGTCTGAACCTCGCCCCCCACCCCACCACCACTTCAGCCAGGCCTTCATATTTCCGTGGTGGACAGAGGCGGCCACCTCCAGTGGGTCTCCCTGTGTCCTGCCCCACTGAGGCCCTCCTCTTCCCATCATCTCCCCGACCCCCGTGGCCCTAGCTCAAGTCCAGGTGCCTTGGCCTGGCACACTGGACCTTTCTGGGTTTCCTTCCTGACCTCTGGGGCCTCCCGGGTCTTCCTTCTCCCATGAGGTCACAATACTCAGTGCTGCCTTTGGACCAGTCCACCTGCTCCCTGGCCATCGGCCAAGTGCCTGCTCACCTGTCCTTCACAGATCGGCCCAAGCAGCCCCCTCCTGCCCAGCTGCCCGCACGCTCCTCGCTGTCTCCCTCCTCCACGCCCCGTGCACTGGGACTTTGGAGGGAGCTCTTCAAGGCAAGGGTTTTGTGCATCCCAGGTCCTTGTTCAGCTCCGCCCCGTGTCCTGCAGTGCCGTGCCTGGTACACAGAGGGCCCCCAGGACGTTAAATGTGGTTTGTGAATGAGTGAGAAGGGGCCTCTGAGGCCTTCCGGGTCCAGGTTTCCACATGGTGGCCCCGGAGAGGCCTTGGATGGGACAGCAGATGTCCTCGTCTGGAGGAGGTGTTGGTCAGGAGTCACCCAGGATTCACCCAGCCATGGCTGATCTGGGCATCTCCCAGCATCAGGTACCTTAGAGGCAGGTTGGGGTCTCTCTCTAGGCCCCAAGTGCAGCCAACACTCTCTGTCTGGAAGGCTCCGCACTCACCCGAGCATGCTGGCCATCGACTGGGTTGTCACAGTGCCCTTCAGCCCTTCTAAGGTGGCCGCCTCACACAGAGCAAGGTGTGGGCATGAAAAGAAGTATTTTTAGTATCTTTATCAGCAAGTCGGGGTCTCTCTGGTGAGAAGAATGCAGGTCTGAGGATCAGGAGGCCTGTTACTCTTATTAAATAAAACTAAGCATATACTGAATCTGTGACCCAGAGAGCACAGAGTGGCCCTTGCCCGGGGGCCTCCTGAGGCTGACTTAAGCAGAGAGGACCAGGGTGGCAGGCCGGCTCCCCCTCAACGTCCCCACTGCCCTTGGGGTCCCTCCCTCCTGTGGTGGAAATGAGATTTCATGGGCTCCGACATGCAGATTGGGAGACTGGGCCGCTCCTGGGATGGCATAGAACTGTTTTTTTTTTTAACCTTTCTGATATTTCAGAACAAAAAAGCACATAGCAATTTTTCTGTGTACAGGGTAACAAAAATAACAGGCTTAAGAGATCTAAGAGGACGGCCAAGTGGTCCCCTTGATTCCGGCTCACAATCCTTATATTGGGATTTGAGGAAACAATCCCAACGGTTTGACATGAAAAGACAACAATCACCACTTCGCAGATGCCCTGCCCCAGGCTGGGAGCTGGGCTGGGGTGACAGCAGGACCGGGCAGCCAGAAGGCCCCTTCCTGTAGCCCTGAGCCCGTGACCAAGGGCTGGCCTCTGTAGTGTGTCCGGCCTGCCCGCTGCACGGCCTCCTGCTTGTAGGCTCAGCCTGCGGGGGAGCACGTGCCACCTCGTCAGCACACCCAGGCACTGAGGGAAGGGAAACGTGGCCCAGGGAAACCTGCCAGTGGCCTGCGGGGACTCCTGAGTCCCAGAGTGAAGTAACTTTCCTGGTGTCAACCCTGGTCAACCTAGGGGGCAGGTGACCTGATCCAGTGCCCAAGCTGCACCCACATCCACCTTCCCCACCAAGAAGACCCAGAGCCCAGGAACCTCCTCTAGGGACCTGGGCATCCTGATGGCCTAGTGCAGTGCCCATGGAGCAGGCCCAGCTGGCTGGGGGCTGAGCAGTGGCCGGGCATGATGACCTCTAGGTCTGTCTTCCAGATCTTTTCATTTTCCCAGTTGTAAAATTAGAGGAGTGAGTGACAGTGATCTAAGAGCTCTTGCTGCTACCAGTGGAAGTGCCTGGTCTTGTTTCTCAGTTCAGATCCCCTTCCACCCTGGTAAATAGCAGCTCTCAGCTCACCTGCCTGTGGCCCCCTGTCCACCCCCGGGGGGCATAAACACACATGCCAGAGCCTCTTTCTACTGCTTGGAAAATAGGCCAGCACTGCCCATCCTTGGTCCCCTCCAACCTTTCGTCCATTCACTTAGTCACTGAATAAACACTTCCTAAGTGCTTCCTGTGTCCCGTACATGGGCCAAGACAGGCTAATTAGGTCATCTAGAAGCCTTGTTTTTATAATCCAAGGACAATCTGTGCTCCTGCAGCTGTCCTGGGGAGACAGGGCCATCCCCTGCCCTACTTATTTGAATGGGGACATGGAAGTCAACTGACTCTCATTTGCTTACATAATTACTGGGCATGACTTAGGGCCAGAGTTACTGAGTATGGCTGTACAGGCTGTGCACTGCATAACTCTGCAACAGAGTAGTCCCACATTGGGGTCCGGAATCAGTCACCAACTGTCATTGCTCAAGTCCCCAGGTCATGTGATGATGGAGTCCCCAACTCCATCATCAAGGGGTGCCAGGATGGCTGCTAAACTAGAGGCCTGGCCTTTGGCAGGGATCTTCTCCATCTAGACCTAGCAGGTCCCATGGCCCCGTCCGTGGAGGAGACCTCCTTCAGACTCATCTGGGGGGGCAAAGGAAATGCAGAATGCTGGCCACCTTTGCGCCATGCCCCAGAGCTGTCTCTGTGCCCCCATGCAGCCACTTCTCCTTGTAAGCTGGAGAACCCCCTGCCCTATCCCTCAGCCCAGCCTGGTCTGCACCAAGTCACGGCCCCACAATTCAGTTGTCCAGTGGGGGTGGCAGCACCGGCCACAGCATGCATAGTGGAGACTGCATCAGTGCCTTCCGTATCACAAATGTGGCCAGTAGGGGACCCACAGCTGGCCTTCGCCAGAGGGAAATGGGGTAGGGAATGTGAAAACAAGTCTCCATGGTTCTTGGGGGAAGAAATCCTTGGCAGGTCAGGCAGAGACGGCCGGGCGACTCCGGGCGGCAGCCACCTGCGCTCTGCACGAGCCTGGTGTTTTCTGCACATCTCAGACGTGTCATAGCTACCAGCCAATGAGCCAGGCCTGGGCTGCCTGGAAACCAGATCTCTGGCTTCTCCACTGGAACATGTTGCATTTGAATTTAAGAGACTGCTTTTGCTGTTGGGTGCGTGCTTGTGAGAGTGGTGTGTGTGCGTGTACCGAGCGTGAGAGCTGGCGTGCACGTGAATTTCCATGTGTGTTCATTTCAAGACCGGAACGTGCCCTTCTCCATCTGCACAGGATTTGTGCTAAGTAGGGTGCTGGGACCTGGTTGATGGGAAGCAGCCCCCTATTCTCCCATGTGTGACCCATCAGTGAGCACATGTGTTGCTGGCTCTAGGGCCCCCAGGGAGAAGGGGGTGTGTACCTACAACATGGAAATCACTGGGTAGGTTACAAGGTTCTATTATCCGCATCAGCTTTGTGGGGCTAGGGGTCCTTCTGGGCATGAGACTGGGTCTGCATACTTTTGCCTCATCCCACTTCCAACGAGGACCCACCCACCTGCCAGCTTTAGAGTACAGGACACACTTGGAACAGGTGTACAGTGACGACATCTGCAGCATTGATCTCACCAGCTCTGGGAGTTGACAATCAAGCAAATACATGGCAGGCACTCCGTGACGACAGCGCCTCTCACCTGCCCACCGCTCTGTTAGGCACCTGGTGTGTTGTGGAGCGCTCTTTCATTCCACCAGTGCCTACTGAGCATCCCCTCCTTGCAGATGTGGCCCCCTACAGCAAACAGGTGGCAGGGGAGGACAGGGGCTGTTATCCCTGTTTGGGGCACATGGTCGTTGGGATTAGGACCTTGACTGGAACTCGGCCACTCTGCGCTGAGGACCTCTGCACTGGTCCTCACAGGAGCTCGTTGGCCCTTGTCTACCTGTGAGTGCATCCTGGAGATGGCCCTGGGCGGGTGCCCACAGAGCAGTCCTCAGGATCCCCCAGGAGGGGCCAGGAGGCCTCCCTGAGATGCCACCTCTCCCCCTGCAGAGTGGCGACAAGGAAGCGGGGCGAGAATGATCCTTCAGGATGAAGACATCACCACCAAGATCGAGAATGACTGGAAGAGACTCAACACCCTGGCCCATTACCAGGTGAGGTGGGCGTGGACAACAGGAAGTGGACAAATAGATAGCATTTCCTTGGATATCTCAGGCCTTAAATCACAGGGTCATCCTAAGCCTAGGCACCAAGCCCCCAACCCACTTCTTCACCACTAGTCCATGTTCCTTTGGGGACCCAGGAGGAACTCATGCCACCAGCCAGGAACTCCAGCCTCCTTAGAGCCAGGATGCTGACCTGTATGCTTCCCGCAGGTGTGGGCCGAGTCCCCAAGACAAGGCCTTCCTTAGATGTTCCCCTGCCATTGAAGGCGAAGGAAAGGGGCAACCTTCAGAGGCTCTTCAGCCAGGTGCTGATTGCCCCTCAGCATGGAGCTGATTCTCATGTGCCCCAGGTTCCTTGGTGGCAGAGTTTCTGTGCCCAGGCCCTTAGAAGCCTTTTCCCTGTAGGTGCCGGATGGTTCCGTGGTAGCTTTAGTGTCCAAGCAGGTGACGGCCTATAACGCAGTGAACAACTCCACCGTCTCCAGGACCTCGGCGAGTAAATACGGTGAGATCTCAGCGTCCACGGGAGGCGAGGGTTCCTGAGCAGCTTTGCTGTGGCAGCAGCATAGCTGGAGGGCAGCTGGCTCCGGGGGTAGGATTCGGGGGTGAGTTGGGCAGGCTGGCCACAGGGAAGAGAGATGTCTGGCAGAGGCGCCTGATTCCGGTCAGTGAGTGACTGATGCATCAGCAGGACCTTCCTCCGGGAACCAAGGGGGGACATCCCCCTCCACGAGAGTCTTGTAGCCCATAAGACACCTTTGTGGTGCTCATTATCTCGCAGCATGTTCATAACAATCCAGTGAATTAAATAATTATTATTTCCCCCTATTATGCAGATTAGTAAATTATAACTCAGAGGCAAAGATGCTAAATGACTGGTAAAGGTCACACCGTCATTATGCAGTGCAGGGAAGGGGCGGCCCCCCGTCTGAGGCTCTGTGGTGGAGGAGAAAGGGTGCTGAATGTGAGATCTCAGTCCCAAAGATGGTGCCATTCTGCCACTACCTGTGTGCTTGGACTGGACGGGCCACCTGACCACTGTGGGCCTCGGTGTCCTCATCAGTTAAACAGAGATCAAAAAAACATTCACCTCCAGAGGCCCGCAGATGAACACAGGGAATGGTCCCCGCACCCAGTAGGCCCATCAGTGCACCACATCTCACAAATACCGACAAGGGTCTAAGCCAATCAGTGGGCAGAGCTGGGGGAGCCGGAGGGGAGGACAGAGGCAAGCAGGTGCCGGGGTGGTCCCTCAGGTGGCCAGCGCTTATTAAGGAGACAGGCGACCCGCTCGTGAGCATAATTGGCTGCACAGAGCACATCCCGAGAATGCACACAAGGAAACGTGTAAAAGAAGTGCGAGCTTCTGTTTTTGCAAATTGAATAGTTGGGGGTTGACTCAATGGACAGCATGAGAGGAAGGGCCCAGGATGATCTGAGTGGTGGATTGAGCCCCAGAGATAACGGAGAAAGCGTCCCCATTTCAGGGAATGTTCAAAACTGGGGCCAGAAGTCAGTCAGCAGCCACTAATTGCAGGAGGGACCAGAGACAGTACTTGGGGTTGGCTGGGGCGAGGGGTGCTTCTTCGGAGTCACTGGACAGAGGGGCTGTGTGGCCTCCCACATGTTGGGTTGTGGTCCTCACATTGGCAGAAAATATGATCCGGTACACGGGAAGTCCCGACAGCCTCCGCTCCCGGACGCCCATGATCACCCCCGACCTGGAGAGTGGAGTCAAGATGTGGCATCTGGTGAAGAACCATGAGCACGGGGACCAGAAGGAGGGTGACCGGGGGAGCAAGATGGTTTCTGAAATCTATCTGACACGCCTGCTGGCCACTAAGGTATTGGACTGGATGGAGGACAGTGGGGCATGGAAAAGGACTTACCCACCTCAGAAATCCAGGGCTGGCAAAACCCAGCAGCTGTGCTCGTGCCCACTGTATTACCCGCCCGTGGTAGGCACTGCCAACCAGCCCAGGATTCTTTCCCAGGACAGAGCCTCAGGGTCCTGCTCAGCCCAGTGCTCCAGGCCAGTCAGACTTGCAGCCTGAAGCCCTGTTCCCACCCCCTCTCTGTGCCTTTTCTCACATACAGAGCTGCTAACTGCACCTGTCCACGTTCTTCCTCCATGTCTTATGGAAGAATCGCTTCTTCTCGGGGGGTCTCATGGACAGTCACTAGGGATGGAAGTCGGGGCTCCTTGAGCCACTTCCCAGCCCCTGTTTCTGATCCTGGTTCTGGGATGTTTCAGGCCTCTACTTTCCCTGTTTCTCTCCCGGGCTCTGCTCAGCTCTCTGCAGGGCCCCAGGAGTAACTGTCCATTAGCTGGGCTGCATTAGGCCCAAACAAAACCAGCAGATTGTGTCTGTCTGCTCGCCCAAGTGCATGTTCATTAGCATCTGCAGAAAGTGCTAAAGTGGCCCTGCCAGAGGGTGGGAAACCAAACGCGTGGTTGGCAAAGGAAGGCTCGCTGAGGTCCAGCCATCCATGTCCTGTCTGCTTTCAGTGTGCAGGGGACATTGACAATTGTCAAAGACAGGCGGGCGACGGGGGGGGGGGGGGGGGACGCAGTGTGTGGACTCTCGCAGTTTCACCCAAGCAGGGAAGCGGTGCGCCGTCCTCCCCGCCCGCTCTGCAGGGCAGATTCCAAGACTGCTCCTCAGAGCTGCGTGGGTGCAGCTGGGTCTCGTGTCCCCCTCCCCAGGGCACTCTGCAGAAGTTTGTGGATGACCTCTTCGAGACCATCTTCAGCACAGCCCACCGCGGCTCGGCCCTGCCCCTGGCCATCAAGTACATGTTCGACTTCCTGGATGAGCAGGCCGACAGGCACGGCATTCACGACCCGCACGTGCGTCACACCTGGAAGAGCAACTGGTGAGCGAAGGGAGGTGGGGGCCTCTGAAAGACCCCAGTCTTCAGAGATGAGCTGGCCGTCCTCCAGCTTCAGCCCCAGGGCCCCTGGTAGGCTCATTCTCTGGTCCCTGCACCACCCCCCCCCATATTCTGCTGGACTTTTGTGCTCACTTCCTTCTGGTCAAACCTGTCTGCACATCCTTCTTTCCAATCAGTCAGTACATATTTATTGAACTATCTCAGTGAGCAAACACTAATGTCACAGCCAGGCCACCCTTACCTCCAGGGACCTCCCGGGGTCTTGACAGTAGGCTAGACACTGAGGGTTCTGAGTTAGGCTCAGCTGTGTAGACAGACACAAACTGCAAGAGACAGTACCTGTGCTCACCTGGGAGGCAGAGGGGCAGCGCCTCATGGTGACTTATAAGTGGGGTTTTGCAGCACACCCCAGAGCATCTGGCTGGACAAGGGCATTTCCACTCTATTCTATATGCTCCGCTCCTCTCTCTCCATGAATTCCTTTTCCAAGCCCTGGTTGGAGATGAGACCTGTCCGCAACCACCTCGTGTTCCCTGGAGATCACAGGATTCTCTAAGTACGAATGGCACTCTCCACAATGGCCCTCTCTCCTTTCATCATCCAGCATCCTTCTCTTCATTGGCGTGTGGTCTGTGCTTCAGGCTGAAATTGCAAGGTCAGGCATCAGCATTCAGCACGCGCTGCAGAGCTTTGCCCAGAGTGGGACTCAGTAAATATTGATGAGACGCAGGGCCAGGGTGGCCTCTGTTTGGGAGTTCTACCTCGGGCAAGGCTGGCTGATATCCAGTCCCTTCCATTCCAGAATCCCTCCCTGTAGCTTTGCATGGTCCATGTTCCAGGTCGTTCTTCCCCACATCATTCTTCCAAGGCAGCGTGGGCTAGTTGCCGGGCACCTACCTTGGCTAGGACTGGCGGTGCATGAGCAGCCTGGGCCAAAGGAAAACACAAGAAAGTGGGAGCAGGCTGGGGTATGGGACTTCATTCCTGTGGCACGCTCTGGCTTCCTCACTCCTCCCCTGGAGAAGGGAGCTCCTTCAGGGAGATTATAACCCCAGGCCCGAGGGAGGATTGGCCCACGGAGCTGAAGAGTGAGGTCTATACTAACATGGATGGGAGAACCATCGTGGAAGAATTTTCCAATCTTTCCAACCAGCAATGCTGGGGTTTCCACGGTCTCCTCTGTAAGTCCTACCTCTCCCATGCCTGCCTCCAAGTAGGTGGTAGTTCCTTCCCCCCAGTCTTCTTGGCATGCCCCGGGAGAGTCTGAAGATCCCCAGCCTCCCCAGCCTCCTCTCTCTATCGGCGAGTCTTCCCACTCTGATGTCTGTAACCTTCCGGATATGATAAGTGCACTGCCCAGATCTTCTCCTGCACATGGCCTGGGCTGGGGAGAGCTGGTCCAAGTACCCAGATGCTGTATCATAGAACTCCAGGTCCAGGCAGAGGAAATCCCAGGGAGTAGATGGCAGCACCAGGTTCAAGGACTCCCCTCAAAGGACATTCCCCATAATCCTGGGCAAGAAGTAGTCAGTTGAGATTCATGAGATCCGCAGACAGACCCAACAAAGAAATTGTTTCTCTACTCCTGGCCCAAGGTGTAAGTCAGCCTCTCCCACCCACTCCCTCCACCGTTCCCCACCTTCTCTCTTTTAAATAAACCTCCCGCTCATTTAGCCTGAGTGGCTGCAATCAACCAGAGATGAGTGGCACCACTGATGTTAATAATATGCTAATATTTCATTAGGCGGGAGCCTCGTGGCACCTTGGCCTCCCCTGTTTGATGGGCCTGTCATCGCAACCTGCTTCAGGGAGACCCGTGAGAGGTGAACCAGAGCAGCCCAGAGTCCCTGCCTGGGCGGGCCTTCTGGAAAACTAAAAAAGAGCTGTGGAAGGGAGTCTGTGAGCTGGGAAACCATGCGTCCTTCATTCAGGGCTCTCAGGCCGGCGGTTAGGCTGGGCGGCCACAACGACTCCTCCGTCACCCATGTGCCCTGGCTCTGAGCTGCCAACCCATTATTCCCTGTTCTGGATTTCTAATGACTAAGCAATGCCACGAAACCTTGCTAGACCTCAGTGTGCCTGCCCACACCTGGGCTACACCCTTCGCAGGGACCTACTAGACACCTGTGAATGGCCTGGCAGTCTGGGATGTCGGGTCCTGCTGGATCTACACACTTGTCCTCTCTACAGACCAGCTGCTAGCAGATGCGAGGATAGAAATATTGTACTCACTGCACTGAAATGACGTCATTCAAAGAGTTTGTGTTTCTCAGAGGCAAGCCAAACACAAACGAGCATTGTGACTCTCACCAACAGTGAGAGCAGCCACCAAAACCACAATAAAGCGTCAGGGGAGCATGGCGGGAGGTGAGGGGTTGGGAGCAGAGGGAGGGAAACGGGCAGCTCCGTGCTGGGTGCATCTCGGCTTCCTCATCTCATCTCAGCGAGCTGGCTGGAAGCCAGGGGCCAGAGCCTGAGCCAGGGCAGGGGAAAGCGTCTCCCCATCGCCAGGTCCTCTCTAGCCACACACAGTGACTTAAGTACTGGACCACACCATGCAATTTTCTCCTCCTTGTGTGTGTTTGTGCTGACTGCACCTGCAGCCTGTCCCGCCTCTCCGCCAGGCCTTGCCCAGCTAGGGAACACCCATGCGTGTTTCTGAAACCCAGACCGCCACGTGTCACCTCTGCAGAGGCTTTGTGGACACGGCCCTCGCCGTGTGCCCCCTGGGTCCCACACTGACCCCTTCACATTGTGCAGTCCTGGCACCCATACTGCCCAGCATGCACCTGGTGGCGGGTCTGTCCTCCCTCCACACCCACCGCCCACAGTTTCTTGAGGACGCGGGATGTGTGGTTCACGGTATCCTCTGCAGCTGGCACGGTTCCTGGCAGGCAGCAGGTGCTATCTGGAAGGGGGCGGGGACACAATGGGACATATGAGGGGCTGAATGTGTCATCAAGAGTCGCTGAGCTATACTCTCAGCCCCAAGGCCTTCAGAGGCAGGAAGCAGCCAGTGGGACCAGGCAGGGAGTGGGAGGAAGCCGGTGGCTTCTGCAGAGTCATCCAGTTTGTGGCAGGAGGTCAGACACCAAGTCCAGGTTCCAGATGATTCCAAAGCTTGCCAACTTAATGCTCTTTGGAAGCGGACAGTGGAATAGAGTTCGAAATTTTTCTTTCTAGCACACATCATGGTGCCTCTTATACCAAGGGGAGGATCAGGGGTCCTGTGTCACAGTTGGGTATCAAGTTGTCTCCAGTACCTTTCAGTATTGTGTCTCTGCATGAGTGATTCACCTTGCTGATCTGCAGTTTCCTGGGAGGTAACTGGAGCCCAGGAGAGCAGCCCCACACCCCATCCCTGCACACCCCGTCTCTGGCCTAGAGAAGGCACTTGAGCACCAGGAGTTGCCTAGCCACCTCCTGTTCTCCAGAGAACCCTCCAGCCACATCACAGCTCGCCGCCCCCTTGCCGCTGACCCTCTGCCCCTTCCTCCGCACAGCCTCCCCCTGCGGTTTTGGGTCAACATGATCAAGAACCCGCAGTTCGTGTTTGACATCCATAAGAACAGTATCACGGACGCCTGCCTCTCCGTGGTGGCCCAGACCTTCATGGACTCCTGCTCCACGTCGGAGCACCGGCTGGGCAAGGACTCGCCCTCCAATAAGCTGCTCTACGCCAAGGACATCCCCAGCTACAAGAACTGGGTGGAGAGGTGAGTGTCGGGACCAGGCAGCAGGGGGAGGCCCCTGGCTACAATGCCCACGAGAGGCCCTCCCCAAACCCAGGCTGGCACCTCCCAAGGCTGGTCCTGCAGATTGGCAGGCGCACCCCACAGCCCCAGTGATGTCGTCTACTGGACAAGAACCGGGAACTCAGCTGGGACTAGCTCTGGGCTCTGCTGGCCTGTTTGGAAGGCCGTGGACCTTGATAACTGAAGTGTGTTCGGGGCCCAGGGAGGAGATGTGGTTCCCGGCTGTAACCCTCAGTCCCCACATACATGCATGCTATGCACACATGCATGCCCTATGTGCATAATACATGCCGCACATGCAATCATATGCCACATACACTTGTATATACACATGCCATACATATATGCACATGCATCAAGCATGATCCATATGTGAATGCTATACATGTATGCATGCCCTATATACAGTGACACACACACATGCACACATACATACCATATGTAATCCATGCATCCATCTATACATGCATATCTACATGCAAAGACACATGTGGTGCATGCTCTACACATACGTGTATATGATGCTGCACATATGAGCATACAGGCCTCACGTGCACGCACTTTGATCATAAATGTGCAAGGTTCCCAGTAATGTCTCGCCACAAAAGACTTGAGGCCTCCGCCCATCTTCCTGTCCATCTGTCAATTCTCCCATGGTTCTATGGGCGTGGCAACCCCGCCCCCTGGACAGTCTCCCACCATCCCAGCCCCTTCACTATCACCTGACCAGCTCTTTGTGCCCTGGGTGTGTGATCTCAGCCATCACACCCACCTGGTCACTGTGTCTGGCAGTCACGTGTCTGCTATGGCACAGACCCACCTGTCAGCTGAGGCTCCTGGCTCTCAGTCCCCGCCAGCTCCTGGTAGAGAATGTCATGGTTCATCTGAGCCGCGGCGGATCCATAAGGCGAGCACCTGAGCTACAGCCAACTGGGACTGGATGCATCACTGTAGTCCCCTAACGTGAGAGGACAGGAATTGTGACTTCCTTTCTTGCTGGTCAAGGTGAAGAAATATACATACAGGATGACCAGGCAATTAGCCCAAGATGATTGAAGTGGCCACAATGAAACTAGATCCCAAGCCTCTTAAATGACTCCCAAATCTTACTATTTATGAAGCTTTCAAACAGAATCTCTGCCAACTCATACTGTACTTCTGGGTAGATCAAGGAAGGGGCTCCTTTCTATAGGCAGGTGTCACCCCACCATAAGGGTGTGGGTTTGCTGAATAAGGAGTTAGTTGTTGGTCACAGCTCTCATTTAAGTACCTTTGTGCAGTGAACCACCTGCACACCTCCACATGGCCGTTTTACTCTTAGACTACCTTTCTCTTTTTTCCAAGTAGCGTAAAGATAAGAAATCTGGATGGAAGTTCACTTTTGGTGCCCTTGGGAAGAATAAAAAAAACCCAGAAATTGTTCTTGCCTTAGTGATTGAAGACATGATGAACAATATCATTTTACCCATGTTATTCTAGAACATCACCTCCTCTTGTACACAGGGAGGAACTGGGAGGGGGTGAGTCCTGGCCACCTCGGTGAAACAGTTTCACTAAAAGAATTTCTGTTCTGTTTTTCAGTACCCTCCCCTACTTTTCTACTGTGGCCTGTGATGAATGTCACACCCTGGCTGTCAGGGAGAGAGCCACATCTTTGTCCTCATGTCAGATTATCCCGGTCACCCAGGGGGGCTCTCATCTCCCTCTGCATAGACAGCAGTGCATCCTTCCCACAATAGGGCTGCCGGGAGCAAGCCCTCATGTGTGGTCCCTGCTTTCTGCAAAGAAAGAGGAAGAGGCAGCATTTGGACGGTGGGTCACCCCTGCACTGATGAGGGTCACTGAGCCAGAACCCTGGGTGGTAGAGAGGAAGGAACAGGGGGCAGGAAGGGTGGGGACATTTATAAGGATCCGTGTAGAGGACACTTCCTGGACAAGGCTGGGTAGTCCTAGGTGAGACCAGTGCTCTGCTGGGCTAATCGTCTTCCTCTAGGTTGGTTCTAAGTGAGACCGGCTCATGCAGCTGCTGCTGGTCACGAGGAGCCCTGTCGATTGGGCTCTTTAGGTAATGGCTTCCATTTCTTATCCCACTAGTTTCTTAGCAACCACGGGCACGCCCAGGAAAGTCATCTTTCTCTTGCTTAATGTCCCAAATCCTTTCTCCTCCCGTTTGGGAGCAGGGGTAGAAAGACAGAGGGATTGAGAAAGAGCATGGCAATCGGGAGATGGAGCTGAGCACTCCTGCACTTGGTGAGGAGTGGACAGGTCCACCCTTGCTCCCACTCCTCCTCCGCACACCCCATGGTGCTCATGGACAGCAGGCTCCTCGTCTTCACAGCCCTATTGGGCTTTTGCTTGTGGCCAAATCTAGAAACAGGAAGGAGATTCTTGGCTCCCCATGAACAGTTCTCTCACAGAGCAGAACTCCAGCCTTGTCACCGTGAGCTCATGTGTCCCAATCGGTTGCAATCTCTATTTCCTGACCAATAGCAGTGAACACTGCAGAGTCTGGTGGTGATTTCATCTGATTTTAACTGGGAAGAACTTCAGAGTTATCCCTGAGGAAGCGTTGGCCGCCCTCACCAGCCGTCAGGAGATTTCCCCTGAAGAAAGTGAGGGGAATGGCGTCCCGGCTGACCCACCAGCACTGGATGAGGGTCGGCCACACTTTGGAATGCTGTCATGTGTCATGGCATGAAGAAGGTTAAGGTTTTAGATACTTTAATATGCCTCCTACGGCTCCCATCCATCCAAGCTTATAAAAGGTGACAGTTCACCTTGGAGCAATACCAAAGGTGAGGCCCAGACATTCCCCTGACCCATGCGACCATCCACTGGTCAAACATGGATTTGCCATGGGTGTGGTGGGCACTTGGAAAGTTAGACCGGATCCTTCTCTGCAGCTCACAGTTGAGGAGGACATATAGGAAGGTTCTCAGCCAGGCCCACAAGCTGCCACAGCTGGGGCTCTGGGAGTGAGGCCCTCATTCTCCTGGGCCTGGAGACAGCGGCCAACGATTCCCAGGGGAAGACTTATGCAGGGCCTTGAAAGCTGAGTTTGGGGATATCAGAGCCTTCCAGCCTGCCAGGCCCTGGCCAGCTCCAGGGGGTCCTCGGGGACTTTTCAGAGCACCAGTCCTTCTGAGAAAGGGTGTGTAGGGTTCAAGTGCGAGGGGCCCAGGCTGACCTTTCCCTTCCCCACTACACAGCCAGCTGGTGAGAACACTTGTTTGAAGTTCATTAATGAGGCTTAAGTGCATTCCTCACAATCAATGGGGCAACTCTGTGGAGGGTCCCAGGACAGGAGCCAGCCCAGCAAAAGTGAGAAGGAAGCAATTGTACCCACGGCAGAGAAGGTGCCGTGGGAGTCATTGTCAGGCTCCGGGCTGGCTAAGGGGTGGGCTGGGGAGAGCCCTGGAGGGGGCTGGGGAATGTTCAAGGCATTAGCCAGACCCAGCAGAGAGGATGGGCCACTCAGCTGCAGCAGGCCTGGGGCTGTAAACAGGGTTAGAAAGGCAGCCGGACTCCGAGCCCCACACCCTCCAGGGCATGAGCTGCCCTTGGCCACTCAGCTCAGCCCATCCAGAACCTGCTGAAGATGCCGTCATGTGACCGGTCCACCTGGGGGATAGTGTGGGGCCACAGACATGCCCTGGCCCAACCCAGTGACCTCAAAGCCAAGGCAAAATTAGGGAGATGGAGCTACTCAGTGGGGATCTGACCTCGCGTGAGGGAGACGACACAAGGCACATCCAGGAGAGTACGTCACCTGTCAGCTTTAGGTGAGGTGGTCCCAGCCCGGCCCCGGACCTCTCAATTTCTCGCCGTCCCTCCCCTCTCTCCTATATTCATACTTCCAAATATTCTTTTTGAAGGAGTGGTCTGGGCTTCTAGGACCTGGGCAAGGTGAGCCATCATAAGGGAGAGCGCTGGGCATCTCTTGTTTCCTGTGGGGCAGGGTCCCCTCATTGTGGACACAGTGCTCCCCAACCTGGCCTCCCCTATACCTCGGAGGCCATAAAGGCAGCAGTCAGCCCTCGTGCTGCGTGCAGAACGCCTGACAGAACCAGCTGTCCATCTGCACAAGCTTCCACAGGTGGAGAGGAGAAGCAGCCGGAGCTTCATTTTGTCCTCTCGGTGGGACCTGGGCTTTTCATCCGTCAGGGTCTCTGGTTATCCACAGTAGAACTGTCTGACGGAGCTTTGGGCCTGGCGCTGTGATTAGAGCTGCGCTGCAGCTGCTGGCCATGGTTTCAAAAGCGAGAGAAACCAGGCTTCTCCTTTACCCCAGGAGACGTGTAGAGATGACCCTGGGCTTGGTGAACCCATCTTGCTCGGCAGGTGTGGGACGCCCGAGGGAACAGTGACACATGTCTCCTTGGGAATGGCAAGGATGGGGGCCGCCCCTGGTCTCCTGCTGTGAGATGGGACACTGGCATTCGCTGTCTTCCAGAAATAGAGGCCATGAATGGAGACTCTGCTGGAACCTTTACACCTGGAATGTCATGAAATCACCCGAGCCCTGTGCACGCGGCATCTGGGGAGATGCTTTGGGGTGGCTCTAGGCTCTTCTAGGGATGGAGCAAAGGAATTGAAAGGGAGCAGGATGAGACAGGAGGGGACAGTGGGCAGAGAGGGTGGTGAAGGATGGCAGCAGGTCATCGTCAGGGCCCTCAGCTGCTCTGAGAAAGGCCATATTGTTAGTCCTTGTCCTTGTTGCCTGTCTCAGCAGCCTGTCATGAGCCAAGGCCTCCTGGCCAGCCCAAAGGTGACCGGTTCCACAAGGCAGGTGGCACTGTGTGTGGTGTGAGTCTGGGTCCCCCCAACCAGCCCCTTTCGTCCCCAGAGCGCAGGTCTCATGTCCCTACCTCTGCTTTCCCTGTCTTCCAGCCAGCGACAGGTCTGCAGTCCCAGGGCTGTGGCTCAGGCAGGGTGCCCATCCCAGCCCTGGGCTGCCAGGAAGGTTCTGGTGGCAAATGGAGCTATCATTCTAAGGCTGGCCCTTGAGCTGACAGTGGAGGAGCCCTGCAGTGTCATTTCTGCCAGCTTGTCACCCAACTCCTGGGAACTCCTGGGGACAGGTGGAAGTCAGAGACACAGCACAGGGCTGATGGGTCCTGGTCAGAGCAGCGAGGGGTGTGGGCTGGGAAAGACACAGGGTCAGAACACACGATAAGAATATCCCCAAATCTCTGAGAATGTCCCCTGTACTCATCTGATGCACCCTTGAGTGCTGGGACTCCCGGGGCCTGTCACCGTCACCAGCCCTAGCACGACCCCACGAGCAAATGCCTCTCCTTAGCCTTGGTGCCCAGGTGCCTGGTTTGCTGTCCTAGCCCACCCTGCAGTCTTCCTCCTGGTTCCTGATTCTAGGGTCTCAGAATAGCTTTCTCTAACCCCGGGGACTTAGAGTGGGCTGGGCTGGGCAACCACCGGGCCCCTGGGCCAGCCGTGCTTCGTGGCTTTGCAGTTACCTGTTCTCATTTTTACAATCTACAGTCCCAAAAGCCCAGAGGAAAAGGGGAGAAGGAACCGTCATCAGTTCCTCATTAGGAAACCACGCGGCTCCCCTCTGGCGGGGGAGTTGGGGTCTGGTGCATAAAATGTCAAATTGCAGAAATTAAAAATGTAAATGCTGGCATCTAATTAACCAGTTGACAGCAGTGCACAGCTGCAAGTGACAGTGACTGATTGCCTTCTGCCAGCCTCTCTCTCTGAGCAGCCCCCAGCCCCACCCCTCTCTCACTTAACCCCCAGAGAGCGGAGGACATCGGAGAAGAGCCACTGTTGGAAAGAGCCTTTGGGCCACTGGAGGAGACCCGTGCCCTCAGGAGGGGACCCTGCAGGGACACCAGCAGCTGGAAGCTAAGCAGAGGCCCCTCTTCCTCTTGGCCCCCTCTGTCCACCCTCTGTCACTGTCTTGGCCACTCCCCAGATCCTCTCTCAGTTCCTCCAGAGCTGCGAGAGCTTCTCCTGGATCTGACCCAGAGGCCCAGCCCCAGAGACCACTGTGGTCCCCACAGTACTCCAGCTTCTCTCCCTTCCCGTCCCTTGGCAGGTATTACTCGGACATCGGGAAGATGCCGGCCATCAGTGACCAGGACATGAACGCCTACCTGGCGGAGCAGTCCCGGCTGCACATGAGCGAGTTCAACACTATGAGCGCCCTCTCGGAGATCTTCTCCTACGTGGGCAAGTACAGTGAGGAGGTGAGCCCCGCCCCGCCCTGCTGAGGCCTGTGGGGAGAAGAGGGCAGAGATGGAGAAGCCCCACATGCCTCGGTGTAGAAGAGCAGTCCCAAGACACACCCCCTCGGCATCTCTCCTGGGAACTCTCCCCCCAAGGCTGCAAAGACTGAGACACTAGGGTGGTCATTCCAAGCATTCTACATTAGTCCCTGATCTTCCCATACATCTACATACCTGTCTCTTTCATTTATTCTTATTTTCTTCTCAATATTCCTCTTATTTTCCCCATTTCTCTAATTCTTTTTGACCAGCACCTTCCCACTCCCATGGACAGTCCATAGGGTGTGGTACAGTATTGTAGAGAACAGAACAGACTAGAAACAGAATAGAATATGGTGGAATAGAAGGAATGGAATGGAATAGAATAGTAGCAACTGAACAGAACAGAAGTAGAATAGAATGGGATAGAATAGAAAAGAATTGAACAGAATGAGAAAGGGAAGTGACCCAAACCAGCAGACAGGGGCAGAATGGAATGGAACGGAAGGCGCTTTTAGTTGGGTTCCCTTGTAGGAAAACTCTAGCTGGGATAATCATCACCATAGATTCTGCCTTCTTTCTGGTCAGTATAAAGGTGCTATTGGCTACGCAGGTGTAGACCAAGTGGATTGGAATCCAGATTCCCTGCACTGGAGCACAGCATAACTGTGAAGATCGAAACAAGACTGGAGGCCAGCACTCCAGGGTCTCTACTTCCTCACAGTCTTGTCACTCAGAGAGGGTCCAGGAGAGTCTAGGAAACCCCGGCAGGCCTAGGGCCTGGTGTCCTACAGGTCATGAGCAGTACAGTTTGTGAACCTCAAGTCAAAGAAGAACCAGCAGAGTCTCTTAGGGGATAGACCCCGGAAACCAGTCCACAGGAGAGAGTTTCCCCCTCCTGTGGCAAGGCATGAGCGTAAGGACGGTGTGTGATACATCTGAGTAAGTGTGCAACTCCCTCATCTTAACCAGGACTGTCCCTTCATCTGCAAGCACACTTGTCTTGGTGTCAAAATGTCCTGTCTTTATGAAATGATGGCAGTTGTTGGCCAGCTCACAAGGAGACTCTTGCACAGTCTCCATTAAAAAGTATCAGCTGGCATAAGATCCAAAGTTCTGGGAGCCTCCCTGGAGCTAGAATCCTCCTTTGTCCTCCTTCTCCTCCTTGTCCCATGCCCTCGGGTCCCCAGCCACCATGCATACAGCCCAGGTGCCTCCCATGGAGCAGGTGGGCTGCCTCTCGTGGAGCAGGACTGCTCAGAGCATTCCCAGGTGTGCCTGACTTTATCCTCTGTGCTGGAGCAGACCAGGGATGGATGAGTAGTCCCTACAGTTTGCCAGTAAGGAATGGGATTCATTCAGAAAAATCACCTTTTGACCCAGATCATCCAGCTGGAGACTGGCGGAGCCGTTCCTCAATCCTGCACCCCCTGAGCCTAAGTGGAATCCTGACGGACTGTCCCCAGGCACCACCACCACTGTCACTGTCCCCCACCAACCACCTGACCCCAGGAAAGGCTTGGGCAGACCTGATCCATTAGGTGCTAATGGCCAGGAAAGCTTACAGCCTTTCACTTGCAGGGATATTCGTTTCTCAACAGGCAGAGTTAAGCCAAGTAATTTTCAAAATGTGGACATCCAGCCTCAGGCAGCTGATGGGGAAGATTCTCCTTTTTAAGAAGGAGGGATGAAATCACATTTCTGTGAAATCCCATTCCCGCTGGACGTGGAGCACACACTTCCCATCAGACACGGAGCTCTCTGCCGTGAACCTGTTGTGACCGGGGCCCCTGGCCCTGGGCATCTTCAACAGAGCGTCTGCCTTCTGTCGGCTGCCTCTCATGAACAATGGAAGGCACACAGTTGTGCAGACATGACAGTGTGTGTGTTGGCATCCTGGGCTCCTGGGCCTGTGGGCGCCCACAGGCTGTGTCCTGTGTCCAGGTGCCTCCTGTGCCTCGCTACCCATGCTACCCAGGCTGCTACTTACCAGCAGTGTCGTGTGTGCATCTGCGAGTACACAACTTCCCACCCTTATGACCACGTCCTCTGGTCTGTGTATGCCCTGAGAACACACAGGTGCACACCCCACCGAGTAACCCCTCCGTTCTTGTCCCTTTCACAGATCCTGGGACCTCTGGACCATGATGACCAGTGTGGCAAACAGAAATTGGCCTACAAACTAGAACAAGTCATAGCCCTCCTGAGCTTAGACAGCTGAGAACCGTCCTTCCAGGGCCGCCCTGGAGGGAGGGACACACCAAGCCGTGCCTCAGTCTAGATTTCATCTTTACCAAGTGCAAGTTCCGACTGGCGTCAGCAGCATCCCCTGAGCAGCGCTGTCTCCCCGGCCCCCGCCCTCTCTGCCTCCCTCTGCCTCTCCCTCCTTCCTGGATCCCTTCTCGTTCGGTGGCTCTGCCAACACGCTTGGACCCAGCCGCCAACCCCGAGCCAGGGGTGGCCAGGCCCACAGCGAGGGACCTGTCCAGAAGGTATCAGAGTGGGGCTCTCTCTCCAACTGCTCCTGACTTCATGCAGCAGCAGCAGCAGCAGCAGCAGCAGCAGCAGCAGGGCCCAAATGTGGATGAGGAGCTGTGGACAGAGGACGTTTCTATGCTGCGACTTCACCTTCTGCTTGAGAGCCCCGGCTTGGGTCCTGAAGTTGGCCTCGGGAAGAGGCAGTGGGCTCAGTATTGTCTTCACGGAAGATGTCACGTGGCTCGCCCTGCCCACAGTCCATCTCCAAGAGGTCAGTCAGGGCGCTTCGCAACTCTGAGAAGATAGGCCTCACTCCTGCATGTGGCTGGAGCAGGGAACATGTGGGGGAAGGGAGCTCCGGGGGGCTGCCTCCCACCTGTTGGGTCGATGCCAGAGGCCTCCTGTCCCTTTCCAATCTCCATGAAGCCCTTCCAAGTGTCCATGTGGACCTGCCTGCCCAGCCTCCTCCCCTGCCTGGGGCAAGCCAGGCAGGAGAAAGAATAGCACTTACATTCCACCATGGAGACGCTCCTAACCTTCAAATCTGGCTCCTAGCAGCAGGAATGTCATGTGGAGGGGGGAGAAAAGAGAGTGGCATCCACCATGGAAGCAGCATCTGTTGTTCTCCATTCATCCCCAAATTCCAATGTGTCACCGTCATTGTCATAGGTCTAGTCCATTGCCAGAGCCTTAAGTGCTGTCTAGAGAAGGCATCTCCACCCTCCTTGGTCACCCTTCATCAAGGGTCAGCATGAAATGCAGCGTGCATCCAGGAGATTCTACCTCCAGCCGTCTCCAAGGCTCCATCCCCACCATCCTTGAGAACTCCATAGAAGGCCGGGGCGGACAGTCGTGTACCTGTCCCCCCTGCAGAATCTGGTGCCATTGCTATGCAGATGACTTTGTCACTGGGCTGTCCAGACCTCCTTGGGAATCATTTCATGACCATCTCAGCTGTGTCTTCAGTCACACTCCTTCCTGACCCCTTCAGAAGTCCTCACAGGACTACCCCAGCACAACCTCACCATGACAACCACCAACCGTGGTCCCAGCTTGTCGTGTCTGGGAGGGACTGGAAACTGAAGCTAAGGGACCTGAATGGAAATGGAAGGAGGGACATGCAACTGACCACAGCCCTGGCATCCATCTCTCCACTCATCCTTGCATCTATGGATACCCCATTTTAGCCAGTCAGGCAAATGTGTGCTCAGAAATGTGTACTAGGTAAGCGGCGGCCATGGCGAGAAGTATTCCAGTGGTGGGTCCTGGGAGCTTATCATCTTGAAGGGACCTTCGGTGCTGTGTGGTCCAGTCTCCACCATGAGCAGGAATCTCTTCTGGCAGCTCTAGTTGTCGGCCATTCTGGGCAACCAGGAGAATTATCACGCAGGTGGTGTTGATAAGGATCCCACCATCACTCTCTAAGCATCAGATGTCCTTCCTCGTCATCCATCAAAGGGAGGAAGGAGCCACATCATTTCCAGCCAAGTCCATGCAGCATCCTGTGCTTGAAGTCCCTTCGCCCCTTTGGATATGAATAAATGCGCGTGTGCGAGCGCATGTGCTCGCTCGCACGTGTGTCTGCCCCAGGAGTAGGCAGAGCGCTCCGGGAGATTTCTTGTCCTATGTAGGAGGATGTTGAAGTGTTTTGCTTCTGTGTCCCCTTGCTCATCCGTTCATCCTGCAGCTTCGGGACATTTCAACACTTGCTTTCTGTGCTGAGTGCTAGTGGGTGGGGAGGGGAGGGGACCTGTCCATAGGCGATCAGGGTGGTCACCTGCCAAGGCCTGGACTTTGGTGACCCAGAGCAGGGCATCTCATGGCATTTCAGAGGACATATGGAAAAAGACACAAGCCACCTAACAAATGGGAAGAGGAGAATGGAAGAAAAAGATGCTTTTGAAAGGAAAAATAAATAACCAAAGGTTTTGGCACATGGCCAGGTGGGAAGTGAGGAATTTTCTTGATCATTTTATTTCCTCCCAAGAAGTCATGGGACCTGACAGGCCAGAAAGGGTGCATGTGGGAGGCAGGCTGAGGAGGCAGCTCAGCCATCCGAAATGTTTTTGCACATACGAGAGGTTGGGAGGAGAGAGACACGAACCTATTTAACACAGATTTACTGGATGGAAGCTGTGGGTGCGTGTGTGTGTGTGTGTGTGTGTGTGTGCGCGTGTGTGTGCGTGCGTGTGTATGGATGCATTTTGATTTATTTTTTAAGTTTTGCACAGTTTAGAGGAAATACGTGAACAAGTAGAAAAAAAAAGACTGTTATGGTTTTGCTGAAGCTTTCGTTTTTTACCTGATGATTATTATTGTTATTATTACGTTGTCGGTACATAACACCCCCACCCGCTTGTTTTTGTTATAAGCAAACCTTCGAACACCTCAGAGAAACATAAATTTCGGGGAGAAAGTGGAGAGGAGGACACACCAGGGTCCTGGCTTTCCTTGCTTCTCCCTGGACAGGGCTTTGGGGAAGATGTTACCTTAATTGATGGTGTGGGTTGTGTCTGGTGCTTCATTTACTCACGGTCTCTACGGCCTGTTGGGGACTGAGAAATTGCGTGGTCTCCCAGAGCCACAACCCATCTTGCCCATAAAGAGTCTTCTTTCCTTTGTTTTCTGTTTCTTCTGTCTGGCTTCTCGGTGCAAGAGTGAGAGGTTCAACAGCAGAGATATAGGATGTTGTCCAAAAGCTGTTCTTTTCCCTCCACATCTTCTTTCTCAGCTCTCTGGGATTCTCTAGCTCCTCCTGGAAGGTCAGACACCCAGAGAGCTGCCCAGCGGGGCACAGGGGTTCCCAGAGTGAGTGGCCCTGTGGGACAGGTGTCCTCGCGGCCTCCCACCATGTCACAGTCAATTTGCAGGGTCGCAGTTCTGTAGAAGGAGGAACCAGGGGAGCAAGGCAATCTCCTGAGCTCCCCTCCACTCACCCCTTCACTGCCCTTGAGATCACAGGGTCAAAATAACCAAGGAGAGAGGTTGAATGTCGGGGGCGAGAGGCTGATGTCAGGGAGGGATGTGGGACAGGGGAGCTCCGTGGGGTCCTGAATTTGAAAGAGTGGGTAGAGGAAGTGGAGAAAGATAGCTGCGAGCTTCTCCCTTCTCCTGGGGCACACTGTCTCCAGGCGTGGACTTGGCCCCTTGGTCCTTCCCTGTAAGGAGAGTCCCTGACATTTGTTGGTCACTGCAAATAGTGCATTAGGTGAAATTAGTGATGTGTCAGTTACTTCCTCAGGAAAAAATACTTTCTTGCCTTCATCTTTCAATATGGTTTTAAGTTTAGGGACGGAGAATAACCCAAGTGTCCCCCAGGCCAAGGTACGTTATAACCCGGGTAACACGTACAGCCAGAGGAGCCCCCCGGCACCTCCCACCTAAGCTAGGGTGCCTCTGGGGGTGAGCTCAGGGTGCTTTGAGTGGGTCCACACCCAGAAAGAGAAGTCCTTTCAATAAATCCCAAAGTTTGAGGCAGACTGTCCAGGACTGTTCCCAGGGAGAGGCGGGAGTTGCTGATGGATTATTTCTCTCGCCCTTGTCCCCTCAAGCCCAGCTCCCACTCTCAGCCAGGGGTTAAGGACATACTCTCCCAGTCTCCAAGGTCCCTGGTGCTCACATGCCCCCTCGCATGTCTGGCTGCTGACCAGGCCCCTCCCCTGGTAGCAGGTATCCTCCTGTCCCTCTTTGTCCCTCCTGTACATGGAGTCACGGCCCCAAGGCTATCTGTCCATTCCAGGACAGGAGCAGATCAGCCCTCACAGTTCTGTCCTCTGAGACTGCCCCAGACCTAGCTCACCCCAAAAACTGCCTCCCTGAGTGATGGGGCTCCCCCCCTCCAACCGAGGCCCAGTGAGGCCCCTATCAGAGGAGCCACAATCAATGATGTCCCAAATGACCTCCACTCTGAGAGGCAAGCCTCTGGCTCTTCTCTAGGGTCCTGGATGGTGCTGTGATCCCTCCTGGTTTAAACACCTCTCAGTTTGCTCTGAAGAGGGAAAGCCCATTTCCAGCTGTCTTCTTTCCCAAGACGGAGGGGACACTGCCTTTGACTGCACAGGAGTGTCTAGCCAGGTGAAGCCAGACTTCCATCAAGAAGTACCATTTCCTCCTCCCCCCAGCCAGCCAGGAGTAAGGGGGGAATGCTGTAGGAGGCTCTGTTCAGCAGAAGGCCTAGAGATGGGCCTCCTCCCCACCCAGGAACAGCACCCTGGCCGCAGTCTGAGCAGGCCCCTGAGGGCTTCTGAGGGGCATTTGTGGAGTGAGTGAGTTACCGCCAAGGACCACCCTGGCCAGGAGGAGGCCACCCAGCTAGCCCACTGTCCTGACTCCTCCCTGACCTTCTGTCCTGTTCCTCCCAGTCCCTCAGGACAGATGACCGAGGGACCCTTACCTGTTCCTTTTAGAGAAGCTGTGGACTGTTTATTTGGAGTTTTGTAGTTGATTGTCGGTGTATTTTAAGCGTTTGAGAGTTAGAAGGAGGCCCAGTGTGAATGCCAAGTCCAAATTCCTGGGGGTGGAAGAAGGACACACACAACTCCAGAGGATGAGGAGCGCCCCGGGGGGTCAGGGGCATCCTCCCCTGTGATTAAAGAAAGGGTCAGGAAGTCCCCCGCTGTGGACGTGCCAGGGGAAGCCCCCTCCATGGCTGCTAATACTCTCCCTGCTTCCCCTGCACTTTTGATGGACAGAGTCGCGATGCCGTCCCTTCTCCGCCCGCCTCCTGCCACCTCACCCCAAGGCACCCTGCATGTAGCAAATAGAGCCTTATTTTACAAGTGGGCAGCTGAGGTACAGCCAGGTGACAGTGAAGAGGCAGTTCCTGAGAGAGGCTGGGGTCCCAAGAGCTTCTTTCACGGTGCTCCGAGGGTGGCAAAGCCCTTGTTGGGACATAAAATGACCATTCCCCAATGAGGAAGTAGTTGCTACAGGAAAAGGTTCAGACATTAGCAGAGACTTCTAAAAAAAAAAATTTTACTACAAAGCATTGCTCCCCAATAAAATGACTTTTTGTTTAGGGGGCGTGTCCAAATTTTTAAATTATATGGGATTTTTTGGTTGT